GTGTCCCATTTCGTTCGCGCTGTTGTTTGCTTTTTTTTTTCACCATTTGTGCCGAACACAAGGCCAGCATACTATAGCCTGGCCCAGCATCTACTAGCCCAATATTTGGCCACAGCAAACATTTATTGCTGCAGCCCAATACTGGAGTGCAAGTTGTGGAAATCGCCATACAAATGTGGCGAACAATAAGGACAACAATGGCACGAACCATGGACCAGAAACAGGAACAACAACAACAATAACAACGACAACGGGGCGACAATTGCAACGTGTCGAAGCGACGTTCATAGCATATTAGTTAAGCACACACACGAATGCATACCCGGCAACTCGGCAAGTCGGCAATCTCGGGCACACGGGCCGTATGCGCAACGTTTTTCCACTCACAGATGCGTCGAGCCATATGCCAACATCCGGATTTCGCACGCACACTCACACACACACATTTGAAAAAAAAAAAAAAAAAAAAAAAAGAAAGAAAATGTTAGGGGAAGAGAAAAAACTGATTCAAGTTTGAACACGGCAAGAAAAAGCTGTCTTTAGAAAAGGTTTCCTTTTTGACATGAAAAAGTGAAATTTTAACTTCAAATTTTGATATAAAAAAAAGGTTTTGAGGAATCGAACCTCGTTCCTCTGTCGAATTTGAGTTTATTCAATGTATTCTGAACTAGAAAAACCCATTGCTTGCTAATTTTTCTCAGTGCACAGAGCTTAAAATGAAGGCCCAGGCAAATGGAGCGTTTTACCATGCCAGCCATAATTCTGAGCACCCGCTCCCTGCCATTGTTACAACAACGTAGGAATCCACTGTCGACCGTTTGAGTGCGGGGAGTGGAGAAATGGAAATGGAAACGGCAACAGAAGCTGGAGATTCAGTTGGAGTAGCAAGAGCAGGAGCAGCAGCAGGAGAAAAAGTGGTCCAATTACCAAGGAAACTCAAGTTCAACTCGCCAGCTGTTGTGGTCAATTAATGAGGACTGCCCACTGTTGAAATGGAGAAGCTTCTTCAATCCCCATCAGATTGGCCCAAAAACTTGCTCAGTCACTTTGGATTGCCTTGCCTTTGGATAGCAAGCGGTTAGTTGCTAAACAATCTGGATTATCGGCGAGTGGACAAAACAAATCCAACACTTCAAAACGAGGGAATTGCAGTCGTTTCAAGGGACATCTTGATGGTCGAAGGACTGGCCAAGCTCAAAGAGAGCTTGGAATTTATTCCACAGCATTAGCATTCATTCACAATTGCAATGCTGTTTTCTGTGGTCACAAACAAACTCAAAGTCAAAACGTTTTATTCATTGATAGCAAAATTGAATTCTTTGTATTTATTGCAGATTTTATAAAGACTTCTAACTGAGCTCTAAATTTCGTGAAAGTTTTGTTAAAAGAATGCAAAAGCTTTTGTAAGTTGCTGCATTTATGTTGGTTAGTTAACCTTTTTTTTCACTAGTTTACAAACTTACTTTAAGCTACATTTTCTTTAAACACAATCTAGAAGTTGGGCAGCAGCCCAACTAGATTTACCAAAAGCCACACGAAGGTGAAAGAAAAATCACCGCTTTGCGCAGTCCTTTTTATATAGTTTGTCAAACCTTCGGTTACTAATGGAGACATGTTCTCAGAAATGATATCCTTTAGCACGATTTACTTGTATTTTTTCAAGGGACAATGACTCCCTGCAAGTCTGTAAGTAACCCCAATAAGTCATTTACTGTCAAAGAAATGGGTTGGTTCCTCTTTTTTTTTTTGGCCGAGTGTTGGGAAATCGGGAAAAAAGTTGAAGGATTGAAAACTAATTAGTGACAAGCCAATGCAGCCATCAAGCTAATGCAATCAGAGTAGAGTGAATCGAGGGTGGTTTTTTGATATGTCTATGTGTGTGTGTGTGTGTGTGTGTAGAATGGTAGTTGAGGGGTTGGGGTGGCTAGTGTAAATACACTTCGATTAACGCTAAATTAGCTCTCGCTGAACTGAACGGATCGAACAAAAGCCGGAATTGTCAGTGGCCAAATGGGGGTTGGGATGGCTGTGGGGTTTTTGGATTGAATGGATAGCCAGGATAGCTAGAATGGCCAGGATGATGACGCCAATGATGATGATGATGATGAGAGAGAGCGATGACGACAGCAACCAGGCTGATAGCTGATGGGTAATGGGTAAAGGGGGGTGGCTTTTGGGGGCAGACACCCACTCATCTTTCTTCTGGCTCTTTGTGCATTGTCAGCCCCATTGGCCATGGCATGGCGGCGTCGAATGCATTTGGCTATGATTCACAATACAAAAGATGCAGCGGCAGGAGGCAGGAGGCGGTAGAAGATGGAGAGGGTGGAAAAACTTGTGGGTAGCGGATAAATAGATGTATAAGCGGGTTCTATCTATACAGTGTGCCCCCCCTCCATCATCACTCTACTCTGGGATTCTGTGTTCTCTGTGTGTCTGTCTGGCAATTTGCTAGGCGCTTGCCTCGTTCAAGCTGACAAAACAAGTCCCTGACCCCAAAAAGTAGGCAACAAAAAGCGTTGGCTGCTTTGTCAGCTTACAGTGAAAAACCCTACCACCCCCTCCCTCCACCGAAAAGAACCAGCACCCCCAGCACATATACCATAACCCCTAGCTTATCCCTATCCAACATACACCCCCCACCCTCGGGCTATGCTAATAACCAATATTTTAGAGCCAAGCCGCCGTCTGCCGTTGAAATTGTCGCCAGCAAAAGAAAAAAAACAACACCAACTTTTCACAGATAGCTGAATCATGCCGCAGACAAAGGATATATGGGGATGCGCTGGCAAGGAAGTCGAGGATGGGTCAGACGAGTACAAGGCATTAATTTAACAGGATAATTGAAAATGAATAGTTGTTGCATGTGGCAAGATGTGGGGGAACACATCCGGGACATGGGACAAATCAATGCGGAACCAGGAAGGGACCAAAGATAATAATTTAGAGGGAATTTCCCTTGAGCCAAGCCTGGGTATATATGCCAGCCGAATGCCAACCGACCGACCAACTACTGCACCGATATAACAACCAACCGAAGCTTTAAGGGTTTTATTTATGCCAGCAATGAAAATTATTCATGGCTCATCCACACAAAAAGTTCTGTTCATTATGCAGAGACAATAAAAACTATAGATAGATTGGGAGAAGTCATTTGTGGGGGGATTTTCCCTAACCAAAGGGGGGCGGTGGGTTAAACAGTACGTAAACTGCGTTTATTTCATGGTAAAATCTTTATAGGTCGTCTGGCATATAAAATGATTTTCCATTGAAAATACTTTTTAACAGGATTTTAAGTTTCTTTGATGATGAAGCTATTGCTTAGATTCTTAGTTAGTGCTTAGTTTCTCTTTTTCTATACCAAAAATTACATCCTTTTCTAAATATGTTGTGACCAAAACTAACTTTTGATTTCAACTTGATTATCCTTTAAGCCAAACATTTTATTTGTACTTTCTAAAGTACATCAGAGAATACTAAATGTAAACTGCAAAAACCAAACTAAAAGTGTTAATCTCTTCGTTTACGGGTTTTCCCTTTTTCCCGTCTTTGCGAATATATACATTGAAATATTAACTATTCATAGCTTACCTTTAGCCACAAGCTCATATGCTTGTTGGTCAATATGAATTTTGCCTGGGTCTGCGATTTCGGTTCGATTATTTGGTTTAGATTTTGGTTTTTGGTTTGTGTGATTCGTGTTTGGATTATTTAGTTTAAAGAGAATTTTACATTAAGAATTGGTGATTAGACACACTTTAGGTTTTGGATGAACATATATATTAAGATATATATCTATATATATTTAGATTGGATTAAGGTTTTCATTTATATATAGCTGTTTGTTAGTTAGTTAGTTTGTTTGTTTGTCTGTTAACTGTTGTTTTGTTTCTGTTCAGTTTTGGCTTCTGGCTTGCCAATTTCGAATATCAACTTGGTTTCTTGACCAGTTGGGAATTCGAGGACAGCAAAATTGAACTTGGCAAACACAACGAACGAAGGAACCAAGTAACGGAACGCATCAAACGAACTGGGGAACTACGAGAAACGAACGAGGAACGAAACGGAACGGAAACGGTAACGGAAATTATGTAACTTTACTGGTCTAACACTAACATTATATAGTTAGAGTATGTTATAGTTGTGTGTTTTGTCTTGAAATTTTCAATGCATTTCTGATCCACCGATCGAACCAATCAACGTGTGGGTGGGTAGGGTATGTGTGTGTGTGTTTGTGTGTGTTTGTGGCATTCCCAAAATGATAGATAAATCGATAAACAAAAGTGCTAGCTGATGATTTCTCGAACATGCAGTTTCTTTAAAAAGCAGGCAAATCGTAAGATTGAAAGTGTTATCGGGGAATGGGTTAGGTAATCCAGTTAGGGATTATATAGGGTAGGCTCTTGATTAGATGAGGTTGTTCTTATTTACAATCGGAACTCCAGCCAATCAGTGGAAGTTTATTTTCGAGTGCCAACGCACACAGGAACCATCTTGAGAACTTCACTTTTCAGATGCTTTTCTCAGTCGGTCTACCCAAATTTCCAAAGAGTTTAGAGTGGGAAAGTTTGTTTTGTTTGGCAGGAGAAGTTAACAGAGTGGGTAAAAGTTCAAGGCATGTTAACTAGACAGAACAAGAAAGACAGAAAGACAGAAAATGAGAGAGAGAGAGAGAGAGAGAGAGAGGCAGACCTATATATAGTATAATAGTTATAGTATTTATTTGATAGTATGTAACGGTAAAGAGTGTGGTTTATTTTTTAGTTTTTTGTTGTTGTCAAGAGTCTAGGATCTAAAGTATCAAACATGGCAAGACAAATCGGGAAGTGGTTAGAGTTAGTTACTTAGTTTAGGGATAGAAAGTAGAAAGAATTTTCGCTACTTCTTTTTAGATTCTTCAACGAGGTAGAGCTACTCGCTAGAGGTTCTAAAGGATTGGATGCTATTATGCACATATTACGGGAACGAACATCTAGTAATGCATTTTTGGTGGAGCTCACATTTTTCGCCTGACGACATTTTGGACAAGTGGACTCGGAATCTGGACTCTGCCTTTCTTTCTTTTTTTTTTTTTTTTTTTGATAGTTTATATTACTTTTTGGTTTATTGCGAAGTGGTTCAGGTCGAGGCTGGTAGTTGGTGGTTGTGGTACTTGGTTCTTGGTGGTGATGGAGGTGGTTGTGGTGGTTATACTAGTGGTTGTGGTGGAAGTAGTAGTAGTAGTAGTAGTAGTAGTTGTTGTAGTAGTTCTAGTGGTGGTGGGCGGTGGCATTAGCTTTAAACTAGCGGGCGAGCGGTGAGGCGGTGAGCGTGAGGCGGTGGTGGGTGCAACGTTTTTCAGCGTTTCGCAGTTCTCTGTTGGTTCTCAGTTCCACTTTATTGTCTTGTTACTTATTTTGGCAATAACAACCAGCAACAACAAAAAATTATCGCAAACTGATTTGCCATGCCATCCTTATTCTTGGTCCTTGTTAAACGTTTTCTTCTTCGTTTTCCGTCTATTCGTTTATTTTTTTTTTTCTTTTCTTATTTGGTTTTTGTTTTACGCAGACAACGCACAAACTTAAAGGCAAACTGAACAAACTGTAAGCGAGTGCCAATGACACTGAGGGGTGGTGGCATGGACAGGGGGAATGGGGGTGGTGTCTCGGTGGTTTGTTGTATGGCTGCGATGACGTCGACGACGACAACGACGGCAAGTGGTTGAAGTGAAGTTTTGAAGGCAACGTGGCACAGGAGGATGGTGCAAGGGGATGAGGGGTTGAGGGACAGGACAGGGGCAAAAAAAAAAAACAACCCTCCGCTTGACAGGCGCTGCTGACTCAGAACGAGAGAGCTATATAGCACTTGCCAGGCGAAATAAAATAATAGAAAAAAAAACTACACGGGAAATTAACCAAAGAAGACAAAATAAACACACGCACACACACACACACACACAAACACTGATAGACAAAATGACAGGCACACAGGACGGCAAATCGGTTAACGGTTTATGAGTTAGCGGTTCAAAGTGTCAGCTCAAAACCGGAAACGGAGATCGCGCAAAGTTTCTATCGAAACATCGAACTATCGAACAGCTGTAAGCAAGTTCGTTTCACATCACATGCAAATGGTTGAGTAGTAGCTGAGTACAATACTGATTGAGCGTGTGTTTGTGTTATTTCTCTTCCTGCTGCTGTTTCCACGCTCATTCATTTCCACGCACACTCACTCACACACGCACACTGTGGAGCACAAAACACTGGAAAAAAAAGTATGTGACTGGATAGAGTGGGTAATCGTTAACCCCTGCGTACGTCTTGCGAACTCGTGACTCGTCGGCAGCGCGTTCGAAGAAGGACTAAAACTAAACCAAGCCAAACAGGACGAGCACACTACCGCCGACCAACTGAGCGAAGAGCAAAAGAGAGCGAAACGAATGAGAGAGACAATCCCGTTATGCGCTGTTAAACCAACAGCATGATGAACCAGTGGCTATGTTAGCACAATGCTAAGATTAACCCTTGACTGTATCTCAGCCGTAACACTGCGACCTTTGAAGACCATAACTTTTCTATTAAGAACTTAGTTCTTTATCATAAATGTGTATGTACTACAATTTATGTTTTAATCTGAATGGAATTTTTAGCTAAAATTATAATCTATATGTAAAGATATCGAAGGATACGAGCTTAAAATAAATACTGAAAAATAATACGCACTTCTTAACGTATTCTTGAAAACTATGTGAATATCAACTAACTGAATAAGAAATAAGGATTAATTACATAATTACTTTAAGAACTATATAAAAAAAAATAAAAACTATTTGTGCAGAATTAATATTTTTAGTAATTAAAATCAAGGCTCATATCTCCTATAGTGCGATGGGCTAAAAAGCTTTTTGGAATGAAGACAACTTGGTGTCTTCAATATTATGACAAGAGTAAAAGTGTTAAGCCAGCTAAGTTAACAGAAGTTATGTTAACTGCCAAGAGAGTCAACAGGGAATGAAAGAGAGCGAGATGCGGCGCATGTGGAGAACGCGACAAGTGGCGGTCAATTTGAATTGGCTTTCGATTCGCGCCTGGCAATGTCAATTGTCTGCCAGAACAAAGAAATTAGATATACAATTATTATCAGAATGCATATTCCAATTATTTTCTTCGATTTCGAAGTAATTAATTAAGAAATTCGAGTCAATAAACCAACCTATACAAACATATTTTCTCATCCCTTGACAGCTTTGCTGAAAAACATGTGACTAACGAGGGAAAGTCGTATTTTGGACTGGCAATGTTGTGCTGAGCAGACTTTTGTCTGCAATATTTTGACATTTCGAAGGGCAAAAGAGCGATTGGGCGAGGACGAGGGTGAAGGCGGGGTATTTAAAAAAAAAAAATACAAATTTATAAATTGTGAGTGCTCTCTCTTCACTCCACTGTCTCTCTCTCGTTCTCACTCTCTCTCTCTGTATGATTGCTTTGGAAAAAGTGCTATTGCCAAAGACATGTTGCTACTACAATCGACACACACAAGCCACAAGCTTGTGCTGGTGTGCGTGCGCTAAACTGTGGAGCATACTTAAGTGCTTACGCACTCGATTAATTAGCAAATTGAAGCTACCCAACTTTGGGCAGTCGGTCAAAGGCAATCGGCATGGAAATCAGCGCAACTAGCCTATGTCAACTGTCAATAAGACGAGCACTTTACATAATAAGTACTCTCTCAGTCACACACACACACGAAGAAAGGCAACACACAAATTCACACACACACACACACTGGCAAATAAGGTGAACACGCGCGCGTTTATGGGCCGCAGACTTTTTGGGGAAATTCAATTTGAGTCTTCAATTATCGACAAAAAAAAAAAAATTTACAAAAATAATATTGAAATTAAATCTTTGGTATTCTTTACACTCGCGAAATTTCCACGATTTTTGCACAAGTTAAGTTTTTTATTTCTTGGAGTTTCTTGGGGGGAGGGAGTCTTGTTTATTATCGTATATCTGTATTTATGCCATTTTGGCGTGTTTCTGTGCGCACCGTATGTGGGGGTAACGAAGTGCTCCAAAGTCAGAGAACACACTGAAACTGAATCGGAAGACCCCGTCCGAGGAACTCACTCTGAAGTCATGCCTTTGACATTTGCAACGTGGTAACCTCGCAGGCGAGAGAATAACAGTACACGAGAGAGAAGCAGATACAGAGAGCGTGCCCGGAAACGAGAGAACCACCCTTGCGCAGACGCAGTTATCCGAATCAAAATCCACCCTCAATAATCACTCAGCTGGTTGCAAAGGGTGCTGGTAAGAACCTCCTGCTACGGCAGACAGGGGGCGCCAAAAAATGCTTTCTGGACTTTGATAGGAAAGTTTAGCCCTTAAAAGCTTTGTTTTTTCGTTATTTTTAAATAAAATTGGCCTTATTATTAAAATAAAACCATAAGTAAACATTAATTTATCGGTGAATAAGCTTATAACCTGTAAATTCTACAAATTACCTGCAAAAATTTTACCTTTTTGTTGGCGATTTCTTACAATTGAATAGGCGGGAGAAAGATTTTCTTCCGCTAAGGAAAGATTTTCTTACGATCCTGTTTCTTCGTATTTCTTGCCCAGCACCGCGATAACATATATACTTTAACTCTTTAGAAATCTTGAAAAAACCTCATGATAGCGATTCATCTTTCAGCTTAACCATTTCTTCATAATTTCACCTCTAACTAATGGGTAACCTTTTTTCAAAACTACCTTAATACGAACTTCTAAAGATCGCTTCATTGTTTTAGACTTTTTTAATAATTTTAATCTTGCTTTTCTTCAATGATTAACATAACTTCATCATAGATCGTCGAGGGCAATTAAGGAAAATTAACTAGATTATGCCTGTAACGTGATTGGCATTGAAGAAAAAAAAAAAAAGGGTTTAAAAAAACTCACCCTGTAACTTGGCCAACTGCTCGGTGGTCATAACAATGGGCATCATTTCCTCGGGACCGCTGGGGGCAACCAAGCTAGGATCAGCTATGGGTCCCATATAGCATTTGCGCATCTTTAAATATTGCATCCAGACATTCAGTCCCTCCTGGGTGTCATCCATGGAACAGATATCCTCACCACCGACATTGCGAACGTTAAGATCGTTAATGAAAACCTGACGTGTAAGATGAAAGTAACTGTTGTTGATGTAGATGTTCGGTTGGGCAGATTCCTGTTTCTAAAATAAAAAGAATAATAATATAATACAAATTTATAATATGTAGAGTTCTTAACATACCTGTTCCTGTAGCATGGATCGCATAAAGTTCTCGCTAATCAGGTGAATGTTACAATCGCGCAAATCCTTTATCATGCGCTCCAGATTGAGATTCTTCTCGGTGAGCATTTGAACTTCGTCATCCAGCTGGCGCTTGTCCTCCTCGTGCAGCTGAAGTGTCTGTTCCCATTCACAGTTGATAGAGCCAACGTCGAAGTTATTGATCATCTTCTCTTTCAGCAGACGTTGGCTAAAATACCATTCCGAAAACTGTGTCACCTTGGACAAAGCCAAAATGCAGAACAAGGTCCACATAACATCTATGTAATCGTCGAAGGTGCGGCCATGGTAATTGTCCTCCTCACATTCAACACCCGTTGTCGACCCATCGAATACCAAGCCTGATATGGTAACATTTTCCATCGTTAAAAACACGTGTGTTTATATTAATAAAATATTGTTTGTGCAAGAGTATACGGCAGTGATGACAGAATCACAATATAATTTAATCAAATTGAAGTCAAAGGGAACAGCACTGATATCCCAGCCTGCTCGAATCTAGGCACTTACCTTGTGCTTGGATCTTTCGGTCGATCAGGTTCATAGTCTGCAGACACATCCAGGTGAAAATTGAAAGACTTAAGCCAATGGCTGCTTCAACTATTTGGTGCACAACAATGTCGTCTTAGATGGCCCAGTTACCGATCTTGAATACTTATCAATTTGAAATCACAGCACTAAAAACTTATTTATATGTTTAAATGTTTGACAAACTCCTCATGGCTTCGGATAGCGAAAAAAACATGTTAGAAGTACAGCTATGTATATTTAGTGCTTAAAGCTCTGCCAGAGCTTTCAAACCTCGTTCGTCAGCTTGCATTTATCGGGTTTGTAATCAGATCTATCGTTATGAGCAGATCAATCGTCTATCGACGGCTATCCATCGACGCAGATGAGAGAGACAGAATAACGGCTCTTTGATCTTTGTTTTGATTCTGCTCTTCTTCTTATTTCTATTCTTTGCCAATATTAAATAACATCAAATTGAGAATGGTAAGTTGATTATGTTTACTCTGCAAGTGTGGAAAATTACATTTCTTGATTTTAGAAATAATTTGCTCAAACTCTTGTTGATATGTGTATTTCGGGAGAGCACTCGTTATGCCCGCCAATGTGATGAGGTGTGTCCAATTTGGGACATGGAAGCGATCCATTTCTATTAGGCCACAGCCAACCGTCAATAATGATGAGGTTGCACTGGTACTTGGTTGTTGTTGTCTTGCACCTGTGCTTTCTAGTCAACTCGCTGGCCGAAGATCCGGACATGCTTCCCCAGCTCTACAACCTCAGTCTGCAAACCGAAGTAGACGACGAGAATCTAATTGGAACCATATATGGCGGGGTCACCATTGAGTTGCGTGTATTGCGCGAGACTCGCACCATCACTCTCAGCTCAAAGGGTGTAAGAGTGAGCCCAAAAGTGTTGCTAATACGCAAAGCTACCGGCGGCCGTGTTACGGTGCGCAAACTTTTTGAGGAAATCCGTCTACAGCAATTTGGCATCATCTTCAACAGCTTACTCTGGCTGGGCGAGGAGTATACGCTGACCCTTCAGTTCACTGCCCGGATGTCCCGCATCAGTGGATACTTTTTGGGCGCCTATATCGATGCTAGCCGTCTTCCACAATGGGTAGCGGCCTCTCAAATGGCACCCGATCTGGGCAATACCGTATTTCCCTGCTTCGAAGACCCAAACCTTCTCAGCATCTTTATCCTCACTTTGGCCCATCCAAAAAACACCAAGGTTGTGAGCAACATGCTGCCTAGCCTGACATCAGAGTGAATATAACCTGCATAGTTTGTATTTTTAACGACGACTTTAAACAATTTTTTAGCCATGATGAAGATGATTACATGTGGACCAGCTTTCTACCGACTCTGCCGATGTCTGTCCGAAAACTGATCTTCTCCATCAATCAGTTCATTCAGTTACCGTCCCCGCCTTCGCCGAAAACTCCAATACTGATGAGCTGGATGCGTCCGAAAGTTGCTGATCAGGGGGAATACGCCATTAAAACAGCGCCAAAGATTATCGAATACTTTGTGAATCTGACATTAAAGCCGCACCCTTCGATTAAGGTTGACCAGCTCGTCCTTCCGGATACCGCTTATGAGGTAAGGATTTCAATCTCCACATAGCAATGACACTTTGGTAACTAGTTCACATTTACTTCCACTTTTATGTTGATCTAAGAGCCATGAGCATTTGGAATTGGTGAGTTACCCGGAGCGATTGTTCCTCTACAGCAAGGGGGTCTCCTCATTAAGGGCCAAGCAAAATGTAGCCAGTCGCTTGGCTCATGAGTTCGCCCACCACTGGTTCTCAGTGCTAGAGAACCCGGCTCTCTTTTGGTTGCACTATGGTTTCTCTGACTATCTAGCCTGTTTCGCCATGGACGAAGTGACGCCCCAATGGCGGCTCCAGGAACACTCTATGATACGACAGTCATGCGTCGTTTTGGACGAGGATTCCAGGGCGAGTGTTCAGCCCGTAAGCCTTGCCCAGGGCTCCCAGTCAACTGACATCCAAGCCCACCGCAAGACAGCCCTGATATTTCGCATGCTGCACTCCCTCATTGGGACACAGGTATTCTCAAGACAAGATACCCATTAAGTTAATATGATATATTTTATATGTATTTATCCAGGTGTTTGTCACCGCGATGCGATTGTATTTGCAACTCTCCCCGAAGGGATCTACGAACCAGACTTTTCTGTGGAAAATATTCCAGGAGGAGTCAGACCGCCAGATGAGCCTACGTCAGGACATTGAGGTTAGCCAGTTAATGGACTCATGGACAATGCAGCCGGGCTATCCGCTGGTCACGGTGGAGCGCAACTATACGACCAACCAAGTAACTGTCACCCAGCAGCGATATCTGCGCAATTCGATCGGGAAAAATGGAACGAAGACAGTAAAACGCCGTCAATGCTGGTGGGTGCCACTGACCTTCACCTCAGCGGGTCGACGTAATTTTGTTTCGACACTGCCCAGCGAATGGCTCACCTGCCAGAGCCAGCAGATCGCTAATCCACTAGTCCTTGCCGATGTGGCACCTCCCGGCGAATGGGTGGTCTTTAATATCCGGTTGACGACGCCCTGCCGCATAAACTACGATGATCGCAACTGGCAGTTAATTGAACAGGCTATAGCCGGAAAAGCTCTAGATGAGCGCTTCACCCGGGCCCAGCTGATTGACGATGTCCTCAATCTGGCCGCCACAGGAGATGTCACTTACGACTTGGCATTTAGCTATTTGCGACACATGAGCAACGAAGACGATTTCATCGTTTGGGAAGCGGCAGCCAGAAGTTTGGAGTGGCTATACCGCACCCTGCACAAAACCGCCATATTCTCCCTTGTCAAGGTGAGGCCTTGGTGAAATAATACCCAGAAAGACCAGGCTAGGACTTGGCAGTTACATTGTGAATGAATTCCAAAGCCCTTTTTAGAAAAAAAGCTCGGCGATGGTGATGAAGAGATAAATCTGGACTAATATGTTATGTAGGTGGAGCCAATGGGCAAGCTTTGAAAACTTTTAGAAGCTGAGCTTTTAAGGACATTTCCACAATGAACTAACTAAAAAACCGTTTGAATCCTTAATCCTTTATGTATATCTTTTGCAGACCTTCGTGGGAGAAATACTGCAGCCCAAATTCAATGAGCTATTCATTACAAAAAACCCTGAATCTGCCAACAAAGCAAATTTAAAGAGGATTATCCTGCATCTGTCCTGCCTATCTGATCTGAGTTCCTGTGCAGATCTGGCTCTAAAGGAGTTCAGTGCCCTGTCCCTAAGTAACAATCCCATTCCGGTTGATCAACGCGAGACCATCTATTGTACAGCCATCCGATTTGGAACGGAGGCAGATTGGACGCTGCTAAGAAAACTGTACAAACGCTCGAATGTGGTCGAGGAGCGAAGGATAATTCTTAGTGCTCTGTCGTGTAGCCGTGAAACCTGGGCACTGAGAAAAATGCTCGCTTTGGCCTTCGGCAGTCGTTACTTGCCCAAGGACGATATCCGGCTGATCTTTACTGCAGTGGCGCAGAATCCTGTTGGCAATGAGTTGGCCAAAAGATACCTAATGGACAGAATCAAGATTATTATAAAATTGTAAGTCAATTTGAAATTATAAAACCTTAATTATAAAAGTTCCTTTCTTTTAGATATGAAAACAGCACCGATGAGCTGGCACAGTTATTGATCGTTTTAATGGACGAGATCATGACGGTGGCACAGCTCGACTTAATACGAAGATTTATAAAGAAAGACCTAAAGAATCTGCCTGGCATCGAGCCGGCCTCTCGACGCATCCTGGAAATAGGACAGGATAACATTATCTGGCATAATAAGCTCTACCCTGCTGTGGTAGCTAGCATCTGCAACATTACCGGATCCATAGAGCCGCAGTGCATCCACTAAGAGGGATTTGAAACCTGATGAGAAACCTGAAGATGATCCTTTTTTTTATTTAACTATAATCTAAACCAAAGTCTACCTATCTTACCTCCTCATTTTCATATTTCTTTGATCTATTGCAAAAATAATTAAATATTTTTAAAAATATTTTGGTTTAGCCATGTAGTAAATGATTTCTTGTTTGTTTAAACCCAAGTTACCTTGGCAAACTAAAATGTCCATCATTTTATTAAATGGTCACACTATAAAATCATAAACTTTTTGAATTATTTTTCTTTTGGCTAGGTATTTGATAGAAATAAATCTGCTTTAGTCTATAAGTAAAAAGATATAATTTAAAGTTTCAGTAGACTATCATTAAACTATGATCAAATATTTTTTTTGATTTTTTAAAAATATTTTTGTGATTTCAAAAACTCAACGAGTGGCGAGATTTGCCTAACGAGTTTCACATTCACGTTATATTGAGAAAGGTAGCACAATACGCAGGTCCAAAGCTTCTTGTTCTCTCCAGCAGGCAGTCGCTGAAAGAGCAACAGTAGCACACCTGTAAGTGGCAAATTTTTAATATTTCATATAAATTAATAAATTTGTTATACAATTATTACAATAATAATGAGCAGAAAGTTATATTTTTTAGAGAGATCAATGTTGATATGATCATTAAGAAAACTTCCACGAATTAAAAAATATATTTATGTTTTAGAAATCATCAAATTTACCCAGCAAAGTTACGAAAAAAGGAAAAGACATATAAACCAACATTTAACATTTTTTAAAATTAAATGGTATATATAAATTTTATATAGAAATCACTTATAATTAATTATGGTATGACTCTGGACATAATAAACCTGTAATTTTCAAAGTTTTCAAATCAAAAATCTGTGTTATTAAGATTTCACTGTATTTTGCTTTACCGTATCCCTGAAATTGTTGTTTTTACACTCCAGCCCTGCTTCTGACACCGTGACGTCACAATCGCAAACTTTGTTTGTCCATCCGTTGCTCACACACTCGCACTCGTACACACTCACACACACAAACAAGGACAAAGAAGGAGGACAGGCACACAAGGAATTTCAACCCCCAGCGAGAAGAATAACAACAACCCAGCACGGAAAAAATCGCTGCATACGTTGAGGCTGAGCGTGTCCGTTTTGCGGCGGGATGGGTGATGATGGTTTATAGTTGGTAGTGGGGGAAAACGGGGTGAAAAAGGGGGACGCAGAGCAACGAGAAAAAGCAGAGCAGGCGCAAGGAGAGCGAAATAGAGAGCCGGGAAGAGCGTTGAAGGATATTTGAGAGCGACGCAGGCGCCTGGATGCCAAAACAGCGACGCTGGCAGAGACAGCGACATCGACGTCACCGCCAGCAGAACCACCACCCGCACGGGCAAGGAATCAAGGACCTGCATCCATCCAAACAGCCCACCCAACCACCACCCCCTGCTGCCTGGTGGCACCGAAACACAACAAACCGTAAACCATTGGCGCTGGCAGCGACGTTAGCGTCGGCGTTCGCGACTGTTGGAATGACAGGATGTTGGCTGCAGACTCAGCGGGGTGCGATTGTGGGTGGCCCCGCACGAGAGGGGGGGATTGCGGGGTGCGACTGCTTCGCAGCAGCCTTACCACCACATAAACAAAAATTCGATTTATGACCACTGTGGGAGTGGCACGGGCGGGCGGGCTTCGCATGGATTTTTGGGGGTGGCGCCAATTCGCTCTGCTCCTGCCAGTCGCTCCTGAGTCCTGTCACACTTTGAGAAATATCTGTGGTTTAATAATAGGTAATATATATATATAAATATATGTAAATTATAAAAAGTAGCTTTTTAAATTTTCGAATTCGTAGACTGTAAAAAATGAAAACTAAAAAGTTTTCCAATCTTTTGAGAGCTTTCGAATAAACTAACTAAAGTATATTTTTAAGTTTTCTTCTTTGAAGAAATATTAGAAAAACAACTGATGATGGATTATCGATTAATAGAACTAACAATTTTCTCTCAGTGAGCTAGCTGTGACGGCCGTCGTGGCACTAACGACAACGATAACACCGACAGGGACTCGCGGGGAGTCTGAGGGGCGGCATACGTGCCTATCTGAGTGCCAGTGTACGACTGTGTGTATGATAGAGGGCGGGGCAGGGCGGCAAACAGGACAAGAGAGAACGGGTGCGAGGCTGAGAACGGAACTTGGCGCAGATGTCGATGTGTAGCAATGGCAGCAGCAAAAGTCATACACTGATCCAATTTAAATTCAATATCTTTGATTAAAAAATTAATAAAAATAAAAATTATAACATTATTTTACGAAAATAAATAAGTTTAAAAATAAAGGTCTAAAGACTAAGGATAAATACTATAATGGCTAGAGATTTTTTTCAACAACTAAGTCACATACTAAATAGTCTTTCTCCGAAGATTTCTGGATATCAGGTCGAAGGAGTTACCTGTTACTTGAAAACGCCGCACAGTAAAATAAAGTTATTCGAATATGGATCCCTGATAACTGGATTATCAGATCATTCGATCAATAGTTCCAATTTTATGATAATTTTTTTAATAATACTTTAAACTTTAAGCTGCCAAAAACAGAATCGGATAACTTAACTTGAACCAAAACTGTTTTTGCCAGTGCAGTCGCGACTAGTATCCACCAGCAGAGTCCTGGTTGTTGTTGCCATTGCTGCTGTCGTCGTCATCTCAATTCGCGAGTCCACACATACATGCAAACAAGGACTGGCAGGGACACCCGCATACACGTATACACAGACGCACACCGAGAAGGAATCGCGACATCAAAAACAGCGACAGGACACGACGCCGACGTCGCGACTTCAGCGAGCTTTTTCGACTGCGAAATAGAGAGAGAGAGAGAGAGAGAGAGCGCACAAGCGATACAGAGAGAGAGCGAGGGAGAAAGGCTCTCCGTAATCCAAAAGTTTGAGTGTATGCGTGTATGTGGGGTGGTGTTGTGGTGAGGGGGAGGTGGGGGCCTTTGGCGGCTTCGCAGGACTTTTTCGCAACGGAGAGCGCAAGAGGAAGTGGCGCTGTCGGCGTCGCCGTCTCTGCCAGCGCCGCTGCCTTCAGTTGCGACTGCGGCGAGGACATACACATAAATAAAAAGTCCTTCATTCCGTCGCGACCAGCGAGTAACGGCATATGAGCGCTCGCAGAGAAATCGCTAATCACGAACGGCGGACGACAAAAACCCAAGAAGAACAGGCAGAGAAGAAAAAAAGAATAGCATGGAATATCAATATATATTGCCAAAAGCAGCAGTTAAATAATTATTAAAGTGCCAGACCGCTAAAAAGAGTGCTAAGTTTTTTTTTTTGACAAGTTATTTTCAAGTGAAAAGCCGTGGAAAACTGTGTGTGTAAGAAAGGCAAGCATCAGCAGCAGGGAAGCTCAAGGAGCTAAAGAAGAAGGCGAGGCGTCTAGCTGGACCCCTCACGCCTCAAACCGCCCCCTCTCCCCAAAAACCACCCACTCCCAACCCCCTTTTTTCCCCACAAGGCGAAAACCGCCACCGCCTCGCGCTCTCTCTCTCTCTCTTTCTTTCACTCTCTTGCCCCCTCTCTTTTTATTCCTTTCGTTGGGTGTCACACCAATACACTCACTCACACACACACCCTTGTCCTCCAAAAAAAAAAGCGAAATAGTAACGAAATTATCGAAACAGCGAACACAACAATAACAACAAAATATCTCAGCAGCCTGAAAGTCGCTGGCAAAAAAAAAACCGAAAGGAAGCTGAAAAATGTTTAAGTCTGTTATTTTTTTTTGTTCATTTTTTTTACCGTAAGTGCTTGGTGAATAAAGTCTTGGAAAAATTTGCAACCTTATGTTCTGTGTGTGTGTGTGTGTGTGTGTGGAAGGATACTGTGAGCAGCAGTCATCATAACAAGCTCACTTGACCACAAAAACCAAACCACAAGCCAAGGATGTGCCACAAATAAAAAAGCAACAAAACACACAAGCTTAGCAGAGTCTAAAATAGACGAACAAGTGACAGGATCCCCGTTGATTAACCGATATATTCTAAATTATACAAATAAATTACAGCTATCAGTCTAAACTAGAATAAAAACAAAAGAAAACATAGTTCGGAAAGTAAACATTCCCATCGAAATACATGAAAAAACATACAAAAAACGAAATAAAATAATACAAAAAAAGGGGGAAAAAAATCCTCGTGGTAGCGTTGCCACCCGGTGAAAAAGAAGGGAGCTTCACGCCAGCGAGTGGCTTTCGGCGAACGGGATTTTTTTTTTACTGCCATTTCGCGTTTCTCCACCGTCTCAGTAGCAGTCGCCGTCAGCGTAGGCGTCGACAGCGACAGCAGCAGTGGCGGCGCTGCTTGTAGATATTCCGTTTTTTCTTTACCCCGCTAACGGATCGTTTTATATTTCCCGAAAAACAACATCAAATATCTATCGGAAAAAAACAGAGAAACCTGCTGTATAAAACCGACGAACAACATCTATAGAAAAGCAATGCAACAACAACAACAACAAGCACAGCATCAACAGCAACAAAAAGTGTAGTGGGTCGCACGCGCGACTTGTGTGTGTGAATAATGAAGAAGAAGCAGAAACAACAACAGCAGCAGCAGCAGAGGCAGAGCAAGGCGCCATCTGAAGCGGAATCGGAGACAGATCGCCCCGGCAGCAACAACAACAACCATTCGCGTCGCAGCAGCGCTAGCAACAACAATAAATAGCAAAAACTGAGCAGCGTTCGGCAAAGCGCAGCAACAGCAACAAAAGCAACACTAAAACTAACAGCAGCAGCAAAACCAATTGCAACTGCAGCAGTAACAACAACAACAACAGCAACATCCAAACGGCGACAAGCGGTCAACAGCAGCAACAGCAAACGCTGCAGTCGCAGTCGCAGCAGCAGCAGCAGCTGCAGTAGCAGCAGCAGCAGCAGCAACGCTAGCGTCGGCAGCGACGCCAGCAGCATGTCCAAAACAAGCAGCGGGAATCCGAGTGCAGCAGCAACACAAGCAGCAGCAGCAGCCGCTGCAGCAGCAGCAGCAGCAAGTGCAACAAATGCCGCCAATGCCGCCGATTTCAGTGCGTTCGACTTTAACGATAGTTCCGATAATTCCGACACGCCCCTGGTGCCACGCCCACCCTTCCTGAGTCGCGCCGCTGCAGCGGCCGCAGCAGCAGCGGCAGCGGCAGCCCTTAGCATTAGCAACAACAGCAACAATTCGGCGGGTTCAGCGGGACAAATGCCGCACAGCACTAGCAGCAGCAATAACAACATTAGCAGCAGCACCAACAACAACAATGGGGCAAATGCCGCCAACAGCAACGCCAACAACAACAGCAACAACTATGGCCGCAGCAGCAGTCGCAGCAGCAACAGCTCACAAAGCAGCCTGGACGAAGAGGAGGATGACGAGGAGGACGAAGAGGATGAGGAGGAGCACGAGGTGTCGCAGCAGCAACAGCAGCAACAACAACAGCAGCAGCAGCAACAGCAACAGCAGCAACTAGCGGCAGAGCAGCAGCAGCGGGCAGCAGCAGCGGCGGCCGTAGTGGCAGCGGCGGTCAGTGCGCTGCACAATGGCAACAAGCAGCAGCACTACAATAACAATAATAACAACAATAACGGCAACAGCAAGTCTCGAGATCGCGACGATCACCTGCAGGCACAACAACAATCGCAAGATGATGAGGATGAGGAGGACGACTATGATGAGGATGAGGAAGATGAGGAGGAGGAGCAGCAGCATCGTCACCAGCAACAGCAGCAGCAGCAGCAACAGGGTAATGGGCATGACCTTACGCCCACGGACCTGCGGCATGTGCTGCCGCCTAGCAATCACGATCAGCAACAGCAACACGCACAACAGCAGCAGCAACATCAGCAACATCAGCAACAGCAGCAACAGGAGTCGACTGTCTATGATGACGAGGGCGAGGATGAAGAAGAGGATGACGAAGATGAAGACGAGGTGGCCAGCAGTCACCTAGACAGTCGCGCCACCCTATCCTCCGCTCACCTGAACAGTGCTGCTGCCGCCGAGAGCAGCGGTCTGCATATGAGCGCCGTAGCAGCGGCGGCAGCTGCAGCGGCTGCTGCGGCAGCAGCCGCCTCAGCGGCCAAACTCAATGCCCAGCTAGAGCAGCAGAATGCCAATGCCTTGGACATGGCTAGTGGCAGTAATGCCACGCCCATTGCACAGCCACCGCCCAGTAGTTTATTGGGCGGCAACAGCAACACCAGCTTCTCTACCAATAACAACAGCAACCATGCCCTAAGCTCCACGCACGGTAGCTTGGGGGCGGGTGGTCAGGGAACAAATTGTAGTAATGATCTGTTGGCCGCCGGTGGCGGTAATTCCCGAGGCGGTTCGTCTCTGAGCCTGGGCATGAACCCCTCCAGTGCCGCTATGCAGCAACAGCAACAGCAGCAGCAGCAACAACAGCAGCAACATGGCAGTGGGGGAAGTGGCGGGAGCAGTGCGGCCAGCGAAAGGCGAAAGTACCGCCATCAGAACTACAGTAAGAACATCTACATTGGCACTAAGAACGCCGAGAAATGGGAGCACATGCGCACCCGGCTGCAGTTCAAAAACGACGTGGAGTTCGTTGCCTACCTTTTGAACTTGGCGGATAACGACACGGATCGGCTGAATAAGTGAGTAGACTTTTGAGATATTGCTGTTGATTCTTAGATAATATTTTTAACTGAAAATTAAGTTAACCAAACACTAGGGAGGGGGTTAAAAAATCAAACCTTTTTATACATTTATAAAGAAGAAAGTCAAAGAAAAAGTATTCGCAATTTGGTATACCGAACTTTCATTTTAAGTCAAGGCTATAGATTAACAAAACGTAGATTCCGAATGGCTTAGTAATACTAAACCTAATAAGTATTACTAACCACAAAACTAAAGCTAAAAATAGTCTTTAATCACATTCTTATATTTAATAACCATTTAACATTATTTAATAACAATACAAAGTGAATTTATCACTGTTTTCCTTTATTATTTTCCCTTTCATTGCGGTTTTGTTAACACTTCAAATTGGTTGGCAAACAAAGGTCCATGCAACAGGTATTTAGATGTTTGTTTAGTGACCGTCAACACATTTATAAAAGTTTTGCCCTGTGACCTATATTAGCTGTTTACAATGGCTATAAAGTTTAGTAGCAGAAAGTAAATGGCATTGAACATTCCTTCCCTTTTTTTTATTGACTGCAATTAGTTTTGCTGCACTTTTACGACGATAATTCACTTTTTATCGCATTGATTTTACAGAAAATCTATAAAAAACTAGAACAATGAAGAAAAAATTGTATACTTATTATCAAATTATTGATAATTGTCATGTCTTATCTCTATTTGTATCTCTAAGATAAAGGTGGGCATGAGATTGAGTTTGATTTTGGAAGATTTTTTAATGGTGGTCAGGGAAAACCTTTTCAAATTTCAAGATTCTAAAAGAAGAAGGTAAAGTTTCTCCATTTCAATATATTAACATTAAATATATAAAGTAAAAGTTCAACTTTTTATGAACTTATCAATTTAAAATGAAATTATATAATACAAATGTGTTAAATCATCAGATTTCTCAGACTAAATGCCTCAGAAAATTCTGCTATAAGTTTCCCTGCTACAAGCCACAAAGAAAAGTAGAAATCTACCATAAAAGAATGAATGATATCTTCGTATAAAAAGTAAATAGCTGATATCTAAATGTCGGGTATGCGTCTATAGCTTTTTTTCGTTGTTTTTATTTGGCTCTGTTAATTAACCTGCTCCCAAAGGAGGAGACAAAAGAGTGGAATCGGCTGGAAGTGAGAGATATGGCAACGCTTCGCTGGCCATCATTGTTGATAGTTGTTCGCAGATATGAACTCACACACATACAGAAAGCTTTTTGGGCACCTCACACACATACACAAACACATACATTGAGAGAAAAGGAACGAAGGAGTGAGAGAATGGTGGGAAATCCCCTTTTTGGCGTTTGCTGCTAGCTCAAGTGGCACAGGAGGCGACGGGAAGATGAAGTAGAAGCTCGATGGGGAGCGGTACAAAAGCGATCCATGTAAAAGCGATTCATGCCCGAATGCATCCTAGCCGCCACACCATTCCACCATCCTACTACAACAACAACAATACCACCCCATCACCACCATCGTCATCATCATCATCATCATCATCATCATCATCATCATCAACCCCTTTTTTGGCCGCGTGATACAAAGGCACAAATGCGGTACTCATGCGGTTGCATGCAACGGAGCTTTCATGTTGCTGCCGCCTCTGTATTCCGTATATTCCGCATATTCCGTACTTTACGTAGTCGGAACCGTAGTCGGAACCGTAGCCCGCTGTGCTCGACTCGTAGTCGCTGCCGCCATGTCAGCGGAAGCGGAAAAAGCAACACACTCACACGCGCATACAGGCGCAAACTCAAGCAACATGGTCGGGGATGTGCTTGTTGTTGTTGTTGTTGTTGTTGTTGCTGTTTCTGCTGCCTGCATTTGCATGCCATGTTGCCAATCGCCCACTTACACACACACACCTACACCGGCAAAAAAAATATGTGGGCTATACAAAGGCAATCATTTGAGAACAATGCCGCTTTGTTCGGCAATCAGGAACTTGATGATCGGCATTGTCCTGATTTTCGCTTTCAGAAAAGTTTGACAAATTCTCAGATAAGACTTTTGACCTAAGTTTATTATTATGACGCCTTATCAGCTTATCATTTTTATGATTAATATTAATATTGTAAAGTAAAAGAAAAACCTAGAGATGGGCATGGTTTGGATTCATGTATAAAAAACTGTTTAACGGATTAAGTACTATGAAAAAACAGCAAACTAGGAATGAAATCATCTCATTATATATATTATAATGCCATATATCAATCCATAATTCTTATTTTTCGTTCAGTGTAGAAGACAGAGAAAGAGGAAGAGGGATATTCGCGCATACACATGTGCCTGGAAGGTTCCTTCGTATCCTTGCAACGTGAATGCGTCGCGAATTTTCTTCCCTTGCCCCACATTGCCACACCCCTGTGCTCTAGCCTCCTACCCTTTAACGTCAACCGGCCCCCTCTGCCACGGCTCGCACTTTTTGTTGTTGTTGCTGCTGTTGCATTGCAGTCGAGCGCGCCATTTGGCGCTTTGAATATGGGCACGGTTATCCCCGCCGCCCCTCTCTCTTTCTCTCTCTCTCTCTCTTATTTCCCCCACTCTCCTTGTTGGCCAAATGCAAAATGCCAATGCAGAAATGTCTGAATCTCAGTTGTGTTTCTCCTGCCGCCTTTTTATCGGCCTCTTCCTTTGGCATACGAAACGAATGCCACAAGGAGGACGCCGTTGGCAGGCTAACACACATTGTCACACACACACACACACACACACATATACTCGTAGATTGGAGTCCTTTTGGGCCAGGAGCCTCGATTCGATCATTAAAGAACACGTTGCAGCGCATGTGAGACCCACCGCTGGGGTATCCAGTGTCTACCGATTACCAATTTCGTTCGTTTGTCGCCAAAGAAGAAGAGCAAGATTCCTGGCCAACTGTCGCTGAAAATAGAAAAACTAAGAAATATGGAAAAATGAAATTTAAGAAATATAATCAATGGAAAATATGCATTTAGTTTTGTCATGTAGTTATTAACATCTAACTAGAAATGACTAACTAAAAGTAATCAAGGGATATGGCAACTGAGATCTACTGATCATCTGATATAGTTTTTTAGCAATGAGATAATATATGAAGAATATGAATTTATTTACAGAATATTTGAAGGTTTTTAAGGGAAATATTCTTCTTTCTGTATTCTCTCAATATGCCAGTTTAAGCTGAAAACTTAAAAGTTAAGAAAGTTACTAAAAGTTTTTCAAGGAACTTCTTTTCGTTCTAAACTCTTAATGGCAAATATCAAAGTAAATACCAATTCACCTTTTATAATTCTTACAATTTTAGTAATAAAATAAATGTTTATATAGGATGGCCTGCGGTAGAGTGACGTTTTCAAAACGCTATAAAAATATCAATAGTTCCCAATTCGAGCGTAAACTTAACCATTTCGTAAACCTTAAACCTTCTACAAAATATCTGCCACATTGACAATGACATTCGAAATGTCAAAGTCAAAATTATGGATAGTTCAAAAAGCAAACGCTATATGGGCTGGATATTCATGTTGATAGGAAATCATTTTGTTTTCTAAAACGATTTTTAAATCCCAATTAATATAGTTACTTATTTTATTGAAGTTTTTCAAAATATTATCAACAACAATAGAGGGTTTATAAAGGAGCTTTTATATTAAATTTTCTATATAAATCAGCATTTAATACCTGTATATATATTTTCATATATCTATCATATCATATCATATCACATATCTATCTTAAGAACAAACCTTTCCCATTTTTAAGAAACATTTAGGGAAACTGCAGTCCAAAAGTTATGCCTTTTTTTAAAAATATATCCAAATTTCAAAAAATATAATACTTTAAAGGACTTTGGCAGTAAACAGATAAGAAATATAAAAAAGTAAAAAGGAAATTCAATGAAATAGTCAATTGTGATATTAAAAACGATCATATAGAAATATAGCCAAACTAAGAATTTGCTAGTCACAGAACCTTGTATCGGCATTCGCAAACTCGTAGGCATTCGCCTACTAATCAGCAGCTTCTTTTTCTCGCCTCTCCTTGTGCCAGTGCGATTTCCCACAGCCCCATCGCACACAAACCCACACACACACACACACACGCACACCATACTCGCACACAATAGATAACAATCCCACCCTCCAACCTTGAGCCCACCCACCACCAGTGCCACCCCTATCATACCACAGTTTCCTTCGTTGCCTTTTGCCAATTCGCATTTCGTATACGCCATGTCGCCAATTTCTGCGAATTTTCACCAAAAAGCACAAAATTGTTGTGCGATTGTCTTTGTGAGTGAATGTATGCGTGTGTGTGTGTGTTTGTGGATATGTCTGTGTGTGTGTTTTTTTGTATTTGTGTATCTCTATGTGTGAGCCTCGTTTGTGTCGCTGACTGTGTGCTTAATGCGCCAACGAGCACCGCACACGAAACAGAATCCCAAAACTCTCCCAGCCTCAAACCCCCCAAAAACCCCACTGAGCTAAGCCACCCAGTAGCAACAGCAACAGAAGCAGTTCCACCCAACCGCCCACTAACCAACCACCCCCCGCTGGGCCCTCAAGCAGCACATTAATGGTAGAGACACTCGCATTCACCAGAATAGGAATCCAAGAACGGGGAAACCCCATCGTCAGAGGATGGAACTGGAACCAGGAATATGCTCGCTCTCTGCGGTCAAAGAAGTGCGATGGTAGATTGGGTGGGTTTTGGGTTGGGTTGGATTGGAGGAGCGCAGGCAAGTGGGTGGAAGGTTGAGACAAAGTGGAGCAGGGTAAGTGGATACCAAGGGGATGGCAGGATGGCTAGATGGCTGGATGGCTGGATGGCAGGATAGAACGATGGCTGCTGTATGGAATGGTATCGTTTGCTGTTGCCGCTGTTTTCGATATTGTTGTTATGGTTCTAAGGTGGAGGATTTAATGAACGATAACACAGAGAAGGAGACGGAAAGGGAGACAGCGATACAAAAAGGGGGTGACGGCAAAAGTGGGGGAAACTGATGGAAAAAAGAAACCATGTGGCATGTTCAGCATCTAGAGTTCGACGCCGACAACGTATCGTTGATGAATTTCCTTCACATGAATTCAAACGGGCCAAACTCAAAGGTTCCTGGCTAGCGGCAATGTAATTGCATTGCCCCAACTTGCAGGTGTCCATGGGGCAGGTTGATCCTGGGAACGGGTAAAGCTACAAATGCAAGAGGAGCTGAAGGAGGGTTAGCCATTCGCTTCGATTTCCGCTGTTTCGAGCAATCAGTCCTGTGAAATTACCAACCAACAACTAGTTGCTGAGCGAGGGATATGAAAACCGGTTTTGGAAAATCGCTAACGAGCTGGGAAAATGAGGGAAATGAGGCGGAAAAAGTTTCAAAACTCTTTTTTGGTATTGTACTGAACTTTAACTTAAGAAATATCAAATAAGGAATCTCAAAGATGATATTGTTAGGTCCCTCCCAGGGTATCTAGTTCTTCACACCTCCTTTCATTATTCTGGCAGCAGTCCAGACTTTTCCTATGGCGATTCCGCCGAATCCTCCATCCACTGTTTGACCCCTCGGGCGGCACGCGAAGCAGCCAGCAAAGCATAAGCAAAATTAATTAAACGCAAAGGCGACAACAGCAAGGACAGTGTGCGATGGAGAAAAGAAAAAAGGAGTGGAGGAGAATAGCAGGACAAGCTCTGGTCCTGGCAGGAGGAGGAACCAGAAATAAATAAATTTCATCGACCCAATTTCAGGGACCCCGCCAAACTATCATAGCCAATATCTTAGTCTCTAGGAAATAGTTTCAAATTTAAGGTGTATATACTTTTTTTTGGATTGATCAGTTATAGAAGGCTATGTACTTACGTTTGATTACGAAGCTGACAAGGTTGCCAAGCCGCGCAGTAACGGTCCTATTTGAATTAAAAGTTTATTTGAAATTAGAAATAAGTCTGGCAACATTGAAGTTGCTTAACACTACTTACCAGTGTTAAGGGTGGCAGCGCTTAAGTGTTTTGATTTGAGAAAAACGGTAAAAACGGTATTAAAGAGCGGCAAACTTACAGTTCTTGGTTTTAAGGATTGATCAGATTCAGAATGTGGTTATTTTATAAAGAAGTGCATGTTTATTTCCTACAAAAGAGAAACGTTAAAAGATCATAAGTATCAATCCACTTACTCCCCTTGTTTTTATCACTTACTTTCAGCCTGCCACCGCCCTCTCCTGCGCACACGCCCACCAAAGGATTCGATGGCAACTTCAAGCTGGAACCGAATCTCAGCGCCAAGGACTTTGCCGCACCTCCCGAATCCTCGATCAATGGCAATGGCAGCGGAAATGGCAATACGAGCGGAAACGGAAATGGCGACTCTGCCTCGGGCGCCTCAATGCCGATGGTCACGCCCACACCGCCGCAGCGCAAGCGCTACAAAAAGCGAGTGCAATTCACCTCAGAGGCGTTGAATGGATTTGCAGGCAAGGGCAAGGGATCGGCGGGAGGAGCAGCCTCAGCAGGAGCTGGTTTCACCTACGCGAAATCCAAGAAACAAGAGGCCAAGGCGGCAACGGCAGCCCTTAAGGCCGGAGCAGCAGCAGCAGCGGCAGCTGCGGCGGCCGCATCATCTGCTTTGCCCGAGGTTCTTGACTGTCGCATCGCCGAGAAGATTAAAAGCGAACTGGAGGCCAATAGCAAGGAGTCCCTGCCAAATGCCTTGTGCCTCAAGAAAGCAGCTGCAGCAGCGGCGGCTGCGGCGGCAGCTGCAGCAGCAGCAGCCGTTAACGGCAGCGAGGAGGAGGACGAAGATGAGGATCAGCCGCCGCATCCTCATCTTCTGCCAGTTCTCCCACCATCAGATGCCGTCGATGGGATTACCACCAGCAATGGCCAAGCGGGCAACTTCCATGTGCGCTCCAAGTCACAGGGCTCCAAGAAATCTCAGGCGGCCAAAGCGGCGGCGGCGGCAGCGGCAGCAGCAGCAGCGGCAGCGGCGGCCATGATGCCGCCTAACTCCTACGACGAGCACGACGACGAACCTGGATCAGGGATGCCCGGTAATGAAGAAGATGATGAAGAAGACGAGGAATTGGACGAGGAGGCTCTGGCCCGCGAAATGAAGATGGAGCAGAACTTCGTGGAAGAGGAGGACGAGCACGACATAGCCTTCCGGTCGCACCAGTCCTGCCGCGAATGTTCCATTGCCCACGATCACAAGCTGTGCCCGCTGAGGAATGCCTGCGGGAATGTGACGGATGCCGTGGATCTGGGCGAGTGGATAGAGCGCCGCAATCTAGAGGCACTGGCCAAGCTGAAGGCCGATGCCCAACGGCAAGCAAAGCGGGCCAGCGGTCGTCAACGGCATGAAGACGACGACATGGAGGATATGGAGGACATGGATATGGACATGGATGAGTCCTCACAGCTATCGGAACTCGAAACTAAGCCACTAATAACCTTCGCTGAGGCCTCTGTTCCCGCGGAATTCGAGCTGCACAACGTGGAACCGAATGTGACCGGTGTGTTTGCCCGCACCGAGGTGAGAGCCTTTACCAAGCTCGGTCCGCTCATTGGCCAGCCAGTGCAGACGGGCGAGGTGCGCGAGGGCAGCGACATGAAATGGATCTTCGAGATGTGCGAGGCCGGGGCGGACAAATCGTATTTGCTCTGCTGCGACAATCCCAATGCCTCCAACTGGCTAAGATTCGTTCGACCGGCTCCTAGCTACGAGGATCGCAATGTCAACTTGGTGTCTATCGATCGGCAGGCGTACTTCGTCAGCTGTCGCGACTTGCGTAATGGAATGGAGCTGCTCTACTGGAGCGATGACTGCAACACCATGTGGCGCAAAAAGCACACCGAAAAGACGAGTGAGTAGATGGGTGGGGACAGGGTGTTTTTTAGATTGTTTTTTTAAATGATTTAAGAATTTTAGTGTCAGGGTTAGTAACCCGAAGAAACATAAGACCTTCTAGAATATCCTCACCTTCAAGACCCAAAAATCTAACACACTTTCTTTTCCACCCTCTCAGACTGCGGCGGCTGCAACTTGAAGTTCGAGCACCCCCTGTACTACCGCACCCACTGCTCCGTCTTCCACGATCCCTCGATGAGCCTGACCATTCGCAAGTATCACTGCAAGGTTTGTGGCGAACCAGTGCTGGGCAAGGATAACATCATGAAGCATGCGGCAGAGAAGCACGACGGCAAGGGTGCATACCAGTGCCAATTCTGCAGCAAATTCTTCCTGAGGCTCAACTACCTGGAGATGCATCGCACCTATGGCTGTGCTTCGAATCCAAATCGATCGCGACCCGTTTGCGATTTTTGCGGACGGAAATTCTGCCAGCCGCAGAAGCTGAAAGCGCATATAAAGCGCATGCACAGCGGTAAGTTGCCAGCGCTTGGCTAGCAGGATCCCAAAAAAAACTAGACCGTAACTGTGATCGTACACCCTTGCGTATGCGTAACCCGTAATATAACGTAGCCGCATCGTAGGCCAACTGACTGCCATATCGTATGTCGTAAGCTCGTGTATAGTATGTCGTAAACATTGTATAGCATATATAGTATATATTTAGCATATAGCCATCGTATGTCGTATGTATAGCGGCGCACGTCGTCCCAACTGCTTTTGCATAAATTAAAACTTATTTTTATATGATTGTATGAACAACGATTCAAGGTTACAGTTTCCACAAGATTTTATTTGATTATAAAATATAAGTACTCTTAAAGCTAAGATTTTTATTTTGCTATATACAGAAGTGCACTTATTTGTGATATTTCAAAGCAAAGCACTTTTGTTTCTCATTTAAATGTAGCATCAATCTAACTTTCAGTTTTCATTTTAATGTTTTATATACTATAATTTATAGTTAATCTTTTTGGTTTTTCCTAACTTGTTTTGTGACCACTGTGACCTTGAATCGCTAATATCAAAACACCCACAAAAATAATAGATATACACAATAATGTCTTATGAACTAATAACGTAAAGAGTCGCTTAGCTGTAAACCTAGACGTACTAATTAAGCTAAAACACCTCAAGTCACCACCACAGCAATACCCACGATATATATATCTATCATATATATGTAACACTAAAAGCATCTGCGATCGCTCATCTTTTTTAGTTGCCTAACTTTTTGGTTGTACACCGCCTAAATTGGTTTATATGTATATTTTGATGATCCTTTTCTTGGTTTTTTTGGACTTTATGTTCAGTTTGTATATGCTATTATTCATTATGGAAATATCGTATAACAATCACACTCTTAGATAAGCACTGAAGTGACTGGAAATTGTTTGCTTGTTAGAAAGTAAAAATTAGAAAATATGTTTCATCGAAGATAGGATGAATATTTAAAGAAAGTTATATAGAAGAGAACGAAAAGCTTTGAGTAAGAATTCTTTATATAATCACACAAAAAAATAACTTATTAAATTGGACATTTTTTTTAAAGTTTTTTACATTTTAAAGAGTTGAAAATTTATCTTTTAAAACAATATTTCATGACTTAGTTGTACTTTACTTTGATTAACAAATATTTCAAGAATTTTAAAGACATCGCTCAGAAAAGAATTAGCCCAAAAACCAGTTAACAAGAAATTTAGCCTTAAAAGATAGCAGTCCTTCAGTCCACTAGCCGAGAACGTAGCCTGCATTGTGTAACCGCTTTTAGTGAATGATTTGCCTTTGTTCGTGTTTAGTTTTATTTTAAGGATCACTGGTTTCATAGAGTCTGTCTCTAAGCCCAATACCTTATGATTGCTAACCCTATCTAAACCTACCTAACCCCACCTAACCCCATCCTGGAAACCGATGATCCTCTAATTTGTGCCTTATGTGATTCGGCTTTTGTTTTATGTTTGTTGTTTGTTCGTTGGTTGGTTGGTTCGTTCGTTCGTTCGTTCGTTGTTGGGTTGGTTTTCTGGTTATGGATTATCACTAAGTTCTTCTTTCAAAATCACCACAATCCGAAATTTCATTTTCTTCATACAATTTCATTTTAGATATGGCTGAAGTTTTACGAGATTTTCAGTGTAAATTATGTTCAAAACTTCTAGGATCGCGAGCGGCACTGCAGCGCCACTCGAAGGAGGTGCACAGCCGCAACTCAACGGTGGTGAGCTGTCCGCGGTGCCAGAAACTCTTCCAGAACCGCAGCAATCTCAAGATCCATATGCTGACCCATTCGGGCGTCAGGCCTTTCAAGTGGGTGTACACAAAAATTACTAGAAAGGATTATTATTAACCTATGGTATTTCCACTTCTAGATGTGCCGAGCCGGAGTGCAATGCAGCCTTCACCACCAAGCAGTGCCTGCAGTTCCATTACAAGAAGGTGCACAACTATACCCAGGAGCAGATGCCGAAGATCGAGAGGAGCGTGGCCTACACTTTCGATGCCTACTCGGGCGGCATGAAGGTGGACTTTTTGGGTAAGCAGACGGCGACGGCTCCGCCGGCTACAGCGGCACCGGCGCAGGCCCAGCCACGCCCTAATGCGGCCGTCGTCTCCCCCTCCTCGTTCACAGAGCAAGCACCGCGTCGACGGCGCAAGAGCCTCGAAGACCAGAGCTCCATGCTCAGCGGATCGCTGCAGAGCGACGCCGAGTTCAGCGATGACAACCTGTTCGAGGCGATCAAGAAGAGCGGCAAGTCCATCAAGGACCTCTGTCGCAACGAACCGAATCTCTCGCTGCTCAGCTCCAAGATCTCCAGCATCTTTGGTGACAAGGTGCCGTCTGCCTCAGCTTCCCTTTCCGCTTCCGTTTCGGCTGCCGCCTCCTCGGGCGGTCGCAAACGGAAGCGCAAGAAGGAGCCCAGTGCGGCGGCCCAACAGCAGCATCATCATCATCAACAGCAGCAGCAACACCAACAGCAGCAGCAACACCAGCAACATCAGCAGCAGCACGCCCAGCAGCTGCAACACCAACAGCTGCAGCAGCAACACGCCCAGCAGCAACATCAGCAGCAGCATCATCATCACCAGCAACACCAGCAGCTGCATCATGATCCCCAGCAACAGCATCCGCAGTACCATCCCCACCAGCTGCATCCCCATTCTCTGCCCCACCAGCAGCAACAGCAACAGCAGCAACAACAACAGCAGCAGCAGCAGTTGCACGGCGATCCCGACGACGAGGACGTGGAGAATGCCAGGCTAGAGCAGGTGCGTCGTAAGCAGAACGCCCAGCTGAGCCTCGTTGAATCCTTCCTCACCACCACCGCCCAGCGGTTAAGTGCCCAGCAGCAGGTGCAACAAGTGGTGGCAGCGGCTGCAGCGGTTTCGGCCATGGCCGGAGCTGGTGACGATCCCGCCAAGCTCGGTCATATGATGGGCCACATGGGCGTGGGTGTGGGCGTGGGCATGGATGAGGAGGAAGACGACGACGAGGACGATGACGATGGTGGCGGCGGCGGAGGCGGTGGTGGAGGTGGCTCGGCTGTCCAACACCATCCGCATGTTCACGCCCACCAGGCGCATCACTCACACGTCCATGCGCACGCCCACCCGCACCACGCCCACTCGCATTCGCACGCCCACCCGCACCAGCATCCCGCCGCCCAGGGGGCGGGTCAGCAGGACTACCGCCATGCGGTCGCCATGAACGCTGCTCTCGGCCAGAATCTGGTGGTTAGCAAGGGCAGCAAGAAGTGGATCCAAGAAGTCCAGGATTCTAACGATGTCGGCGGTGAAGGAGCTGGCGGTGGCGGAGGTGGTGGTCCGGGCGACAGTGGTGGCGGTGTTGGTGCCTGCGGTCAGCTGGCCGGTGGTTCCGGTCCAGGCGGCGATCTGGGCTTCGCTGTGCCACCCAGCGCCGTCGATGAGCATAGCAAACTGCTTGGTCAGAACCGTGACTTCCTTGCCCGCTTGATGAGCAGCGCCAGTGCCAGCCACGCCCATGCTCATGCCCATGCCCACGCTCATGCCCACCAGCCGCACCAGCACAGCGTCCACAGTCGCGAAGAGGACGAGAACAGCTCCTTCCTGGACGTCGTCGAATCGAACAACAATGCTGCCGCCGCCGCCGCTGCTGCAGCTGCGGCCATGTCGCACTATGGAGGCGGTACAGGCGGCGGGGGCGGTGGCAGTGGTAGTGGAGGCGGCGGCAGTGGTGGACAAACGCCAACGGGTCCTGCGACAGGCGGCACAGTCGCCGGTGGTGACGAGCCCCAGATGCAGATGAACTCGCTCGCCCACTCACAGTCCTTCATGAGCTCCTTCTACAACAATGCCAATGCTCGTGTGGGCGGAGTGGGCGGCGGTGTGGGCGTGGGTGGCGGCTCCTCGTCGGCCAGCATGCTCGTGGAGGCGGCCCTCAACTCCGTTGGCAATATGATTGACAGCGAGAGCAACGACCTCAAGGTAAGTGTACTCCAGGTGGGTCTAATCAGAAATCTTTACCAGGGAATCATTGGAAGCTCCAATTAACCATGATAAACCTTATTTAACTTTTTTATATTATTCCACAGGTTCCCACCGACAACCACATAAACAGCGACAGTCCAATGAGTGCTCACGTCGATCCCGAATCGCAGCGTTTCGGAGCGGGCAGCACTGGCGGCGCTGGAGGAGGCGGCGGCGGTGGAGGCGGAAGCAGTGGAGGATCTTCTGGCGGAGCAAACGGAACTGGCATCGGCGGGGCAATGGACAACCTGGAGAACGAGCTGAAGATGATGAAGAATTTGGGCAGTTTTCCAATGCAGATTCCACCACTGCCTATGTTCCAGGGGGCATGTAATATATCGCCAAGCGCCTCAACTCCAACGAATCCGCAGAGTAACCAGAACCAGAATGACGTGGATGTGGATGCGGGCAGTACACCACGTCCACAGCATCCGGATTCGGATGGCTTCTCCTCGTCGCATCACCGAACACCGCCATCGCCGCCACCGATCTCGCCGGGTCGAGATTACGGCGGAATGTTTGGCGCTGGCAACGGAGGAGGAGGTCCTGGATCTAATAGCACACCGGCGGGCAGCTCTAGCGGTGGCGGCGGTGGAGGCGGTGGTGCCGGCGGAGGTGGGGCCAACAGTATGTCTGCCTCATCACCACTTCCTGCTCTCCAGCCGCAGAGGAGGAACGCGTCAAGCGTGGGCAGCACCTATCCCGAGCATGAACTCATCTCGCCCGCCTCCTCGCCGAGCATACCGCGCTACAACTTCAACGGGGACATGATGCGCCACAAGCGAGCGGTCCAGGAACAGGAACACCAGGAGCGCCAGCGGCAGAACATCTCGCGACACAATCAGATGTCCAGCGATGAGGAGAACAGCATTATGCCCCAGAACAGGTGATGATTCGAACATCCAAGAATTTGGCCAAAAACCTAGACTAATCTTTTTTTTTCCTATTCCCCTTCTTTTGCAGCAGCGCTGGCCAGGACATGCGCATGAAGTTCCCGCAGTCGCAGATTGATCTGATGTACTCCAAGTACGAGAGCATGGCCAGCAATTTGAAGTACAACAGCCAGGATTTGGACTCGCCGGCGGAGTATCGACAGGCAGGTGGCGGTAACGGTGGCAATGCGGCGGCCAGTGCAGCAGCGGCGGCAGCAGCAGCAGCCAGTGCCGCCAATGACCTATCCGATCTCCAAGGCCTTGACATGAGCTCCAGATCGAATGCGGCGAGCAGTAATTACCACCACAACTTCCAGTTGCCGAGCAGTCGGTACCATCATCACATCTACGACATCCTCTCCGATCGCGAGCAGCAGAGTCAACAGGCTCAGCAGGCTGGTGGGTCGGTGGTGGGTGGTGGTGGTGCCGGTGCCGCCTCAGTGGTGCACCAGCAGGAGCACGGTCATGGCCAGCACCATGCGATGCAGCAGCATCAACAGTCGGCGGCTGCCATGCATAACATGCTAAGCGAGCAGCTAGGCGAGCAGGAGCATGACCAGACCACTTCGGTGGATCTTAGCCGGACGGCCAACTATGTGGTTTCGTCACCACCTCAACTGCCCTACAACCATCCCACGCACCACGACATGCTACGCATGGCCTCGCTGGATCTTACGCCCAACACGGCCAACATGGCGGTGGGAAACAATCGTTCCTTCCTCTCCTCGCAGATGCAGCATCAGAGTCGCGAGAGCTTGGAGCACCATCGTCTGTTGTCGACGGTGGAGCAGCATCGCATCCTGGCCGCCTCAAATGCCGCAGATCAGCACCGCCTGCTAGTGGATCCCACGGCTCATCTGTTGATGGAGCAAAACAACCGCCTGCTGGGCACAGCGGATCAATCCCGGCTCCTTGGTGAATCAGCGGCTGCTGCAGCCCAAAATCGTCATATGGCTAGAAGTTTCGGGGCCTATCACCAGGTGGCGTCTAGCAATTACCATCCGGGCGTTAGGCCACCACCTGTCCTGCCATCTGCCAATCACCATGCCTCCAATCCGTCAAACTATCATCCCTTCCCCGCCTACTACTAAACGATAGGGGGCGGAGTATGTAATTGGCCGGGATAAAGTGCACTTTTTGGGGGTTTCCAAGTGAAGGACATCATCCTGAACCGCTTAGTTTAATTTTAAAATTTAGTACCTTTCGGTCACCATTCAGTTGAGGCAAATTCCAAAGAATTTTTACTTGAAAGTTTTTATAAATTAGAAATATTAATGTTTTTAGGTTTTAGTTTAGTTTGAGGATATTTTCCAAAATTTTAATTTTAACTTTAAAACCTTTTATGAAAATTCCTAACTAAAAAAGCTCAAACTTCAATTTCATTTCTTTGGCAAACTGCACTCCAACTTATGTTCCAAAACTTCTTTCTAGTCAAAAGAGCATTTGTGTTTCAAAGAGTTTCTCAAACCTCTGAAAGTAAACTAAAATTTCGAATTTGAATTTCGAAATGTGTGCCAATACGTCTAAGTGTAAATTTTGATTTGCTTCTCTGACATTCGGCGGCTTGTTAGCCGACTTTGTATTTGTACACAATAATATAAAATATGTATAGTTGTATAGGAAGCATAATTATAATAAATATATATAAATATATATATATATATATATATACGAAAAAAACCAGAAATGAATGCAACAAAAAACCATAAAAAAAGAAGACAAAAAAAAACCTAAGCCTGATGAGAACATTTTTTTAAACGCAAATTCGCCGCTGAGTTTGGATAGAAAAGAAAACGAAACAAACGAAAAAAAAAAAAGTACATAAATGATATAGGAAACGATGTTGATAATAATATTTTTACACCAAGTGAAAATAAATGCATATAAACGAGTACAAAGTGTTAGAAGAGGACGGAAACTCCAGAATCCCAAAAAATTCGGCTTTTCTTAAATGTAAAACCAAAGCAAACCGATTCAGATTTTCCCAACCCACTTCCAAGACTCAGCGATTCAAAAACAAAAAAAAAAAACATAAAAATTTAAAAAAAATAAATAAAATAAAAGGCACAAAATGTTGCACACTATATATGTAAAGCAGATATAGATATATATATATATATATATAAACGCGACCGATCAGGAACTTAGCTCAAGCATCTTAAAACTTAACGGAATGAGTTCGAATTTCGAAACTTCGAAGTCTTTTTTTTGTACTATTTAATTATAAATAATACGTATCCAGTATGGTATAGGGGCAATATATATATATATATATATATATATGTATATATATATATCGATATAAACTACCCATAACTGTACTAAATGGTATTTGTAAAACTAAGTTATGATTTAAATGTAAATTATTAAATTTATATAAGAGCGCGGAAGGCGATAAAAAAAAAAGAAGGGAGAGGAAATGCCGCATAATGAAACGAGATATACACCACATACCAAAAATTAAAAAAAAAAAAAAAAAAAAAAAAAACATAAAAATAAAAACAAAAACCATGATAATAAATATAAACACACACTAACACACACACACACACATTGAGAGATAAGGGTAGAGAGATCGCCGATCTGATCCACATGATATGTATACACCTATATATGCATATGGCGTAATCAAATTATCGATTATTAATAAAACGTAAATCGAACAATTATTTGAAAGGAAACCACAACCCCCTTGGCTTTTCATTAACAATCTAAAAACGATACAAAAAAAAAAAAGTTTATATACAAGCACACCATTAAATTTTTGCCGTTTCCCCTCTCGGAAATTCCACGCCTACGGCCAGAAAGGGATAGCAACATCAGCGGTTACAGTGACCCATCCCTTTCCCGTACCCGTTTCCATGCGCGAGAGCGAACGGGATACCATCAGCGCCCACCCAGCGCCCATCAACAACAACAACAATACTAACAACACCAAAAACACCAATAACAACAAAGATGATGGAGAAGCCAGCAAACCGGCAGATAGCGTACCTCTACCGCCCCCCCTAAAAGCGATCAAACACCGTCGCTCAAAGAAATCATCGCCTGACGAAGCGCCATCCGAACCCCCAACTGATGACGCCATACAGGCGCCGTCCATCCCACCACCGCCCCCGCGTATCGGCAGCAGTCAAGCGGGTAGCAGCGTACTGATAATGACGCCCGAGGAAATCATCGAGGCCTATGAGCGCGCCCTGAAGGTAGAGTTGTCGAAAACGATCGAAAACAATTTATCGATAGGTTAGGTTAGTTAGTAGCTAACAAATCGATTTTGCATCATACAGAATGAGTCTAACATTATATGCATTTTCTTGTTGATAATATTGATAGAATTTTATCTAGTTGATCACTTAAATCTATATTAGAAAACAGAAACCAATAACAGGATTAATGAAGGATCACAGAAAGTTCACAAAAAGAAAGGATCTTATTAATTAACATATTTTTGATCGGCATAAAGGTTTTCTTTCTCAAAACCGACATTATCAGATCGATTAATTTGTAGGCTAACTAGGATTAACAATTTTCAGATTTCCAGATTTCTAATCTGGTACTTCGCCCTAAGTGATATGAGCTTAGAATTCTTAAGCAGTAATTTAAACTATAAAATTGATTACATAAATAACAGATCGATAATCACTTTTCTATATCTCAGTTAACCGATATAGCGTAAATTAAATATAAATTATTAATATTAAAATAATAAACAATATTTATAGAGCACATGGCTCTTCATTGATCATTTAAAATTAGATCATTAAAAGCCAAAAATAACCAATTAATCCAAATCTTATCTGTGATCCCAATTTCACCAAAGTTTCGAGGTGAAATTGGGAACACGGTTCGTATACGATATGTAATTAAAAGCTGACAACCCTATTGTATGTACCGCTCCCCCTACCCCTTAGGAGGCCGAAGGGCACGATGAAGAGGACGGAGAGAATACGAACAAGTCGAAGCGCTGGCTGAGCAAACCGATCACTGTGAAATCGACACTGAGAGCCATACGCGACGGCCTGTTGTTCGTGGTCGGCGGTTTCCTGCGATTCGTTCGACGACTAGACATGCACGGCGGCGGTACGGGCAACAACATTAATTTCGTCGAGGGGCTGATCGACTTCTTGGCGGGATCCCTGGGCGGAGCGGCCCAGGTGTACGTATCCCAGCCTCTCGACACCGTTAAGGTTAAGCTACAGACCTTTCCAGAGGCATATCGCGGCATGTTAGATTGCTTTCTGAGCACCTATCGTAAGGATGGCTTCTTTCGTGGCTTATACGCCGGATCCGTTCCAGCCGTATTTGCCAATGTGGCGGAAAACTCTGTTCTCTTTGCCGCCTATGGTGGCTGTCAGAAATTCGTCACCTTTGTCGTCGGCAAGGAGACATCAACGGAATTGACCACTGTGGAGAATGCCTGTGCCGGTTCCCTAGCCGCCTGTTTTTCCACCCTGACCCTCTGCCCCACTGAGCTGATCAAGTGTAAGCTGCAGGCACTCCGTGAGATGAAACAACTCATAGAACCAGCTCATCCGGATGATATGCGAACTCCGTGGACACTGACGCGTTATATTTGGCGTACTGAGGGTGAGTGTTTATAATTTTTGTTTTTAGAAAATATTTTTATCTTCAATATTTTGTGATAACAACAGCTAAAAAGCATTCAAAATTGGGTTAATTTTGGTTAGATGACATTAAATAGAAGAGAAGAAACTTAAAACTTAAAATTCCTATGGTTCTTATAGCAAAAAGTGATCCGTAATTCTTAGGTAAACACTTCACAACAATAGTTTTTTAATCTCCCAAAAAGTGTAGTATTAACCAGCTATTAAAAAACCTTTCTATATTTCAAACTAAACAAAAATTTATAAGTTCCCCTTGAAGTAAAAACAACACTTTACTTATTAACATGTTCAACATATCTAAATGATAAGAAAATACAGTAAACACCACTAAAGTCGAACATCAATTGTGTGAAACTTCCTAAGTGTAATCGTTAAGATGGCAAAGAGTTAACTATTAATATTTACAAAATATTTTAACAATTTTACTCTTGTTTAGTCACAGTTAAATAATGACTTTAAAATTAATCTTTAAACAGTGTAATGGATTACAACATTATTTCACTGTACCGCGTTTGCTCTGTAGCAAATATTTGCCAAAATTACTTAAAGATATTGTAACTTTTAATGTCCAGAATGATCGCTTTATCCCGGAATATATTTTAGGGGGCGTAGCCTTGGGGAAAAGCTATTGTTGCTCCCGACCCTCAAGTGCTCCGATTAGATTATCTCCGCATGGCTTTCGGCGATCTTTTTCTTCTAATAATTCACAATTATCGCATCGCGGTGTGCGATATAAACACAGATACACATCTCACCCATACCAAGACACAAGTGTCCACATGGTTTGGGATCAGATCGCACTGAGGTTGCCGGATCCATTGGGGGGGTCTTCTTAAGGGATCTCCTGCAACAAATGGGCAACAATGCAGTTAAATTCAAATTTGAATTTGAATATTGTTGGCTTTGGGGGAAATACATTTGAAAAGATATTTAGTTCTGTTGGCCTTGATTAGTTGGTTGGCATATAAAAGTTACTTCTCAAAATAGTCGACTTTAGTTAATGTAAAAACATATAAAAAATCGTAAATTTCTTCATAACTTTGTCGTTCAAAATGTTTTGGCAAACTATTGCTTACAGGTTAAATATATATCTTATATCAAAAGCATTCAGATTTCCTCGAGTTTTAATTTACTCACTAATTAAATTACAAGGCCTTAGCAAGCACTTGTCTTTCCCTATAAGTTGATCTTAAAAAACCCTCTAAAAGTAGCTTATGTTTAAAGAGAAATTTGAGAATCTGACTGCCAAAAGTCGAAGTTTTAATACCCTAAAGCTTAAATCAAATCAAATTCAAATCTTTTTTGTAATTTAGAATTTGATTTTGAAACTGAACACGTGAAGACCATAGAAACAGACGAAAACTATAAACTTTTTACGAGCGGAATAGTCTGAAACTTAATCTGGGAACATAAAATAAAAAATCATTTCAAAACTTTCCTAATAATGAATTTAAAAAAGAAACAAAAGAGATCATAGAACCGACAAGTCTTTGGTTTCTTATAATTTTATAAAAGTAAAATACTTCTGTAAATAAATGCCAATTTTCACTTCCATCAAGTTTAAGGCTTAATTTTAGATATTCTTCTAGTAATTCCAGCATGACCATGTACCACGAACATGCTAGCATTTTTTTATGCTGACACTTAAAAAAAATAAACTTAGCAATAACAGGAAACATAAACCCTACAAAAACCAGCTAAGGCTATAAAACGCCAGTCAAGTGATGGATTTTTGTAAAGAATCTAAAAAAAAAAAAAAACCGACTCTTAATCAAATCTAATCGAACATGAGAAGGCTGCCGTTCCTCTCAGTACTCAGTTTTGTGAAACATAAATAATGAGTATTTACTACGCAGATTGCGAAAAGCGAATTAGGAATTAGGAATTTCTATGAAAACTGATAAGAACTATTCATAGCTATAACCTAGCAGCTGAGAACATGCCACGCACAGTGACGTAGTAATCCGAGATAACTGTTAAAATATATATATATATATAGCTATAGAGAGGAATCGGAAAATAGTGAGCGGGAAGTGCAGTTGTGGATAATGCACATGGTTAGGTCATTATCAGTCAAGTGGAAATTTACTGAAACGCTTCCTGATTGACAGCCTCAAGTCGGCAGATCATGAACACGTTTCCGTTTCGCCTTCGATTGATGTTTGATGTCCGTCCATTACCAGATAACCCCATCCTCACGTGCCAATCTCCAACTTTGCAGTTTTTTCAGTTTATACCATTGACTCATTGACCAATCTCCTTCACAGGCATTCGAGGCTTCTATCGTGGCTTGAGCTCAACGTTCATGCGGGAGATGCCCGGCTACTTCTTTTTCTTTGGCAGCTACGAAGGCACTCGAGAATTACTGCGACGGTGAGTATAAAAGATGGATTAATCTTTGAATTAAATGTTACTTAAATATTGGAATGGAGTATAGGAACTAATTTATATAAATCTTAAGAATCTATTCAAAGTCCACAAGCATGATTTCCAGATCTCAAAAAATAGCTTCTCATAGCAAAAGACATTTTCCACTTCGAAAATTTGCTAATTTTATATTTGTTAGCTTACAGATTTGTTTTACAAATTACTTAACAAAATCCCAGCCTAGATAATAGACCAGAAAGTTTAACAATCCTTAAGAAATGCTTAAATCTAAACTCAGGAAGTTAACAACGTTTTTACTTGACTTAACAAATTTGAGTCTTGTTGGACCTTGGCAGTTGGTTAGGACAAAACTTAGTCGGACTTTCATAACCAGAACTCTTGAAACTATTAAGAAAGTCCTCCAGACAAAGTTTTAGTTATAAAAGATCAACTATATGCCTTCAGTACTAGTTTACCCTACATTCTTACACCTTGAAATTATCTCTCCTGCAGCGATGACCAAACTAAAGATGAAATTGGAGCAGTACGTACAATGATAGCTGGCGCTATTGGTGGCGTCTGTCTGTGGACATCGACATTTCCCGCTGATGTGATCAAGAGCCGCATCCAGGTAAAGAACCTCAACGAGAGCATGTTCAGCGTGGGAGCCGACATAGTACGGCGCGAGGGAGTTTTGGCTTTATACCGTGGCCTTCTACCATCTGTCCTGCGCACCATTCCAGCAACGGCCACTCTGTTTGTGGTTTACGAATACACCAAGCAAGCATTGCACTCCACCCTCTGACGGACTTATCCGGCGTAATAGATGGCACTTTGCTAGTAGTTGTGGGCTTATGACGCGTGGCCGCGGGCGGTCATAATTAAATATTCGATAATTCATTTTTTTTCTAGATAATTAATAGAACGTAGTGTTGTGCCTGTACAATGTTCAGATAATGCTAATGACTGACTTAAATTCAACATCTTGCCGTTTTTTTCATTCCATTTCGGCTAGCTGTTTGTCCTTGTCTCATGCTCTTCTTATTCCTGTTAAGTTTTCTGTTGGCAGCTGTCCTTGCTGTTCCTAAATCTTGGCCACTTGGCTAAGACGCCGTCTGATAAAGTCCTGGCGGTCGGCAGATGTTTCCAGTTCACGCCATTCGTACCAATAGATCTGAAAAAAAATATGGATTATTATAAATAATGTTAAGTAACTAATAATCCTAAAAGATACTTATAGATGTCTGCCAATAAATACGCTTTCAGTTCAAAAACAAAACCATTTTTTTATATAGTTCTATAGTTCATAGATAAAATGGCTATATAATAGCTTAAAAATGAAAGAGATGGAAGAAGGAAAAATGCAACCCCTTGTACTCTTAATATAGAGTATAAAAATCAAGGATTTTATGATATAAACTGAACCATAAATATCTCATGATATAGCACTTACCACCAGCGGCTGATGTCCCAACTGCTTTAGCTGCCTTAACTTCATATCCATTTGCCCAGTGAATCGCTCCTTATCGCGAATCACGTTGTTCCATCCCGCTATCACAATGACCACAGTGGCCACCTGGTCATCCGCCGCCTTGGTCTCGCCCAGCAAATGCTTGCGGGTTAGAATCTCTCCGCTGTAATCCACGCAGGCCTCCACATTCAAGGGCACAGCCTTCTTCTGCTGATGGTCGTAACAGAGCACTAAATCGCATCGATCGTAATGCGGCAGGATATGCTTGAAGGTCACTGGGCGGTGAATTAGAGAGATTGCATCCTGAATTTCTACTAGAATGCGATCGGTGCTGTTTAATTTGAAACGGCCGTCCCGCTGGGGGATGTACTGTGTGTAGAGGCGACCCATCTGCTGCCGCTGACGATCCGTAATCAGTGGGCCTTCGTACTCCTGGCCTAGAAGACGAGCAAAGCTGTCCAGGTGAAAGTATTCCCGTCCGGGCAGTCCGCTGGGGTAGGCATGGTGCACGAATCGCGGCTGCAGAGCCACGCCAAGAAGCTCCAAATCGTAAACACCGCGCATTGTTAGAAACTGCAGGCAGTTGGTAAAGCAACGAGGATGGCGCAGAATTTCCTCCATCCGCTGACGAAGCAAATCGGGCAGCCTGTCCGCCAAGCGACGTTCCACTCCTGATATTGTGGTAATATTAAACAGTCCCATTACCAGACAGATACGCTCCATGTCCTTCAGGCGGGAGGAGTCCAATTCACGTTCGAATCTCAGCAGAATGCTTTCCACTAGCGAATCATTGCAGGTCTGCAGTTCACAACCAAGAAGAGCCATGTGCAGGCAGGTAAGCAACGAAACGCGTTCCACTTGCGACTCTAGTTGGATGAGCAACGTCTTGAGCGGCTCAACGTGGGGTAACTTGCTGCTGTAGCGCAGCACCTTCAGCAGTGCCACCAAGGCGATGTCCTCCACAGTATCCAGTTCTTTGCCCAGCCGCTGGTAGATTTGCGTTAGCAGTTCCGGATTTCTGATAGGCGTCTGGGTTTTAAAGAAGCCCATGGCCATGACGCCCAGCTCGGACAAGGTCATCTGATCCACGCATCGGGCCAGATTCAGCTCAAAGTCAAACATCTCGAAGACGGGTCGGCGTAGTAGATTGCACAGAAACATGGAGTGAACCAATTGTTCTGGCGGCAGTTTACGTAACTTGCGGCCCAGCTTCTTAAGGGCCAGCCACACGTACTCGCCGATCCTGACCAGACCCAGGCGATACCAGGCATCGCTTACTAGCAGCAGTTGTTTACTAGACCAGCGCTCAATGCGGCGACAGCACTCGATGTCCATAGTGTTCCACAGCTCCATGTAGTTGTGCGTTTTGGGTGATTCAGGGTCGGGCAGCTCGGCCAAGGCGCTCAGCGATCCCAGGAGCTGTTCGTCCGTTAACCGATGAAGCTGCTCGCAAAAGGTTCTGGTGAAGGCGTCATAGCGGGCATCGCTAATCTGCAGTTTCAGCCGGTTGCAATGCTTCACCAGGCCCTGAAAGTCTGCGTATAGTTCGTCGGGATTGGCATCTGCCTGCGGACGCATAAAGCCTTCCGAGGCGGGCATATCCTGCCAGACGGTGTCGCGTGGACGCACTATTGCGTAGGGTTTCAGCGAATCCATTAATATGCCGTGAGCGAACTGATTTTCCCGGTCAGCGAAAATGCGCGCCTGCGTTACGCTGGACGCGCATATCTGGCGACCAACACGTCCCACACCGCGCCAGAGGCAGTGAGTCCTTGACCACATGATTTAAATATAATCTATATCGTTTTTCAGTCAATTCAATTAAATTTTAATTAAAAACGCGTTACGAAAACATTTGCCGAAAAACAGGCCGGTAAATCAGCTGATTGTGTGCAGTGCTGCCAGAGTGGTGGAAAAAGGTGTTCGCGTGTCAAAGAAATAAGCTAAAGTACTCTGCACAATGCGCACTCTGCTATCGATATCGATATTGATCTGTGTAATCTGATCAGTGATCAATGACTATCAGTTGAATGTCTTATTCATTAAAGAATTCATTATTACGCACTGCCAACTTTAAATGAAATATCAACCACAATTAAAAAATAGTATTGTTATTAAAAAACCATGGGTTTAAAAAAAAATTTTTTTTTTTTTTTTTGAAGACATAGTTTTGAAAAGTTTTTCAAAATTAAGACTATACTTTAATATAATTTCTGTTCATTCAATCATTCATTCATTATATCTGTGACTATGTTTAGAAAAAATTTCTAGGTGGAGGTTGTTTTGTAGTTAAGTTGGAGTAGTTTTTGTTTACCCGACAAGTTGGTCGAAGATCAAATGGAATCTACTGATATTCTGAGGTATGTATGAATCAAAGGGAAGAATCACTAGAGAATTATAAAAAAAAAATTTAGGAAGTTTCATTCCAGGGGTGCTCAAAATCGACGTATGGCAGAGCATTTACTAACACAAATACAAGACTGACTCTTTTGTGCTAATTTGCAGCTGTGCCCTGAGAGAAAGAAAGACACTTTTTTTTTGCTAACCAATTCATGACTCATTTTACTGTCCCGCCAAATGCAAAATAAACCCCAAACCGCAAACAGAAGTTACAAAGAATTAAAAGGTAGATGTGGAATGACGTGGAAAGAGGAAAAGAAGTGTAATAGCATCGTGAGCGCTCAAAGCTCATGAGTGAGCGCGTCCATATGCAGTGAGCAAAAAAAACCAAAGAGCACTGAGAGTATAGACGTTGATTATCCCTATTTTAATGAGTTAACTAAATGGACAATACCTGTAAGAGCTTCACGCGATCTTCATGAGGTCAGTTAACTGTTGTTGTCAAGTCGAAAAAGTTGAGGTTATTTCAAGGGTATCAAAAACCTCATTTATTTTCAATCTGGTAAAGGGGTAGAGTCTTTATTGAGCATATTACCACAAAATAGACATATCAATCTACCAAATGAAGTTTATTTTATCAAAGAGAGGTATTTAAACTGTGAAATCAGAAGTAGAACTTTTTTAAACATAAGATAATGATACTTTGGCTTGTGTATCGGAAGACTATGCCCTACTCTTATATATTTACTCAAAAAGTTGTTATAGATTTTCGATGTCTATAGTTCGGTCCTTCGCACAAAATTTTGTTTAGCAATTTTAGTGTATTAAGACAACCTTTCTTAGGTGGAATGGATTGCTTTACAAATGCAGGCCTAAAATTTAGTATTCAGAGAGCTCAGGAACATTTCGTGTATTTGAAAAATCAGAAAAATTGATATATATATTGTAAAGGTATACAAATGTGGCAGCTAAAGAGCTAAGGGACGAATGCCGAAACTGCTCTTAAAATCAGAATGATTAAAGTGTCAAATAAATCTTAACGCGATATTGCATTTAAATAGTGTTAATACCTTCCAAACTTTCATATTTTTCATCGCAGGGAACAACCACCTCTAGTGTAGAACAGAATTAAGACACCATGTTGAATCCAATACATGCTGGGACTGTCAAGCTTCAACTGTTATACAGGAAGTTGACTTCTCCGTGACTTTTGGAAAGTACTGGCAAGATCTATTGGTGTTATCTTGACCGTAATCGAAACGTGGTTTTATTTTCCGAATTCCCATCTCTATAATTATAAGCAAGTCATCCAGATGTTTGACATTCACATGTCAGCGTACATGACATATATATTATGTTTCATCGGAGCACTGCCAGACTGCGGGAAAACTATCTGAAGATAGGAGCTACTAGATCCTAGCCAACAATTTACTTCATTTTCAGGACTTAATTTAATATAAATACATGTTTTCCTTATTCTCATCCGCGTGATAAGACATTCTAATATCATTGAAATAAGTCATTATTAATTTTTCTTTATACTGAACTACCAGACCGCTAAAAAACTATCGAAAGATGCGTGATTCGGGTTTCATCCCTAAGACCTCGTTAGTACCTAGGAAACAATTTCTTTTCTTTATTGGATATAATGGCATATATATTTAGATTTTTTGGGTCCAATCCAAGTGTTTGGCTATTCAAATGTCATCGAAAGTAGTCATGATTCTTTTCACCAGGTCAACGCTGCCAGATCGTTGCAATAGTTAGACTGACGCCTCTTAAGTCTGGCAACGTTATACTGTGTGCCCTGCGAACAATTTGCTATTAGCTCTTTCGGCGTCGCAAAAACCCGTTTTTCGGGAAGCCTGCTTAATTTTTTTTTTAATCCGCGTTTACAGATTAGTCCCGAATATTCTGGGAGTCAGTTTTCGGGTAAAAACTTAGATATTTATCAGTCACAACGGCGTATTCGTCACCGGGTCTTTCGATAGAACGATTCTTCGCGTCGTTTGTGTCGGGAAGGCGCGGCTTGGAGCTACGATTGGATCGTTGTTAGGTATATGAGCCATGGAGGAAAAGGTCATTCCAGTTAGCAATGGTCCGTTGATCTCTGATGGTGAGTACGCCGGTTTGTCAACCGATCATTTGTCCAACTATCGTTCCTTACTGCTAGGTAACTCGAAGGAGCCAAAGGAGGCCAGTGAGAAAGTGTCAGCCAATCCGTTCAGCCGCACTACTAATTCGGGATCAGGGATAACCAACCTTCTGCAGAGCTGCGAGACGGAAAAACAACTTATTATTTTAGTCAGCCGTAAGCCGGCTTTGTATGACTCTCGGCATCCGAGATTCCACGACGACAGCCACAAAGAACAGCTTTGGCAAAAAATTGCACGCAGTTTGGCCACGGATTTAACTAACTGCCTGGTGGCCTGGTCGGAGCTGCGTTACCGCTTCCAGCGTCATGTGCGCCGCCTAAGAGCATTTCATGGTAGCGCCACCAAACGCGATCGCAAGCGAGAGCGTCCTTGCATGCGGCACGAGGAGGAGCTGTTCTTTCTATACCCTCATGTGGCCCGTTTCCCGCTGATCGTAGAGAAGACCGATCCAATAGAGATTGCAATTCCGGAGAGCATCGAAGGAAATGCCGCCACGGCTGAGGTAGAGTTCGTAGAACCCCCGCCCGTGGATGTCATAGATGTTGATCTTGAGGAGGATTCGAACTACAAATTCCGCTGTTCTAAGGAACACCGTCGCCTCATAGAGGCTGTACAGGCGTATCCGCAATTGTATGACTCTCAGATACCTGGCTATGACAACACACGGCATCGCGGTCTTATCTGGGGAGCCATCTCAAATGAGCTCCATGACAAGGCCACGAAGCTGATGAAAAGCTGGCTAAAGTTGCAGACGCGCTACGAATGGGAGCTGAATAAGGGACCAACTCTGTGCAAGACCTCGGAACTGTGCCAGTTAATGGACTTTCTTCGCCCGCATGTACAGCGTCTGCCTGGCACCGTGTGCAAGTCCTCCAAGTACCTGGAGGCCGATTGGCACGAGCCCATCGAGCATTTCCGCAGTGTAATGGCGCTAATCAATACGATGCGTAGCATGCCCGATCTAGTGCAGTTAACAGATGAATCCCTCTCCTTTACGGTGAAGCCGCCGCGTTACGACGAATTCTGGCAAAAGGTCGGCAACGAGGTGATGTGCGGCTACGAGCGCTGCGAGGTCACTTGGTTAGTGCTCCGCTCGTTTCATCAGGAACTGCAGGCTATGCGCTTGGCCGGCTATCAGCTGCAGGACAAATGGTACTTTGAAAACGCGATCAGCAGCATCTTCAAGCAGGTGGCCACCAGATCTACAAGCCGTCAGGCTGTTAAACGCAAACACAACGGCGCAGTAGTGCCTTCAGAGCCTCCAGCCAAAATACAACCGCCGCCACGTCTGCCATTGGCCATTGTCTATCCACCAAAATGTAGCAGCTCTGGCAGCAGCACCAGCAGCAGCGGTACGAGCACTGGCACATTCTCAGGAAAAGGCATCGTTCCCACTATCATGAATGTCAGGAGTTGCTCTGGCCCCGCCAATGTCAGCCCCAACTCCCCCTCCGCATCCACCAGTTCCATTTTAAATCCAGTTCCAGATTCAGCTATTCCGTCATTTGTAATCCCTAAGATTACGTCGGCCATCAGCGTAGCCTCGTTAAATACGTCGCCCATGAGGATACCGGCCACATTGCGGATTGCGCCCGCCGTTGTACAGCCACCCGTCGTAATGAACACTCCGCCGGCAGGCTCGAATCCTGCTTTAAGCGCAGTGCGTCCCGTGATACCTCAGCGTCCTGGTTTGCAGGTGACTATTAAGTCCAACAAGTCTACACCCAGTCCAGCTCAGATGCCGCCGGCAGTCTCCCGATCTTTAATTCGAGCGGTGCACCCATCTAATCACAGTCTGTCTTCACCTAATGCCGCCGCAGTGGCAAGCCTGCGATATCCTCAACCTACGCCACTGGGAGCGCTTGCCGAAAAGCCGAATCCCCAGCCAGTATTGCCACCATCTACGGCCAAGTCTATACCTAATTCGATACCCGTAAACCCACAGAATACTGTTATAAACAACACCTCATCATCAGGATCAGGGCCTCCAATGGTCCGAATTCATCAGCCTGGACTGAACAGCAGTTGGGATGTCACAAACAATGGCACTCCGGCCAGCAAACCCCTGGGATCACAAGCAGCAACTACTAAACCAACAGAAGAAGCAGCAAAAAGCGTAAAAGCCGCCGCCACAATAGTTGCAGCGAAAAAACCAATTGCTGCACCTTCAACGCCTGATAACGTCAAAAAGTATCGAAATATTGCTCCAGCACCGCCGCCAGGTATAACCAAGGTTGCTAAACCTGCAATAGAATCAGTGCCAGAGCCTTCCACTGCTCCAGTAGCAACAAAAGACACTGCACTTGCAGCAGCACCATCAGTCAAAGCAGCAACATTAGCGACAACTACAAAACAAATTACACCTGCCACAAAGCCTAACGCTGCATCATTAGCTAAAAGTCCAACAGCAGCCATTACGAACGCAGACGGCAAATCAGATAAAACACCAACAAAAGCCCCATCATCAGCCACCGTTTCCACATCACCAACAGTATCTAATGCAAAAACAGTGGCCAATGCGGAAACTGGAACTGAAGCATCAACATCCGGTGACAGTCAGTTGGAGGTTTCGTCAAAAACTGTTACTGTATTCATGAAGAATTATCCCGCCACTGGAAATATTATACACATTTTGATTGGTAACAGTTCAAATCGTTTGAATCTCAACATGACAAGAGCAGCGACCCTAATCCGTGAGGTTATGGCCATACCACAGCTCCATAAAAAGGATCTCCAATCGACACCCAAGTTTGAAGAGTTCTGGAAGAATCTCAGCAAAAGGTTTCACATGCCAGGTAAGTGTGCAAAATAATTTGAAATTTAAGAAAACAAAACTAATATTTGCCATTTGTAGAGGAAGCCTTGCGCGCCAGCTGGAAATTTCTAAAGGAGAACATAAGCGTCTTTCCGACAATTGCACCCATGCCAGAGCTGATGCGCTCAGTTAAGACCAGCGGAAAGGTGTGGGAGAAGTCGCATCGTTTATTTAGCAAGTTTGACGAAATAGCGCGCAAGTACATGTGGATGGATCACAAGGACGTGTTGCCGGAAGTGATACGCCATTTCCGAAAGTATGAGTACTTGTACTGGGAACTTCGCAAGCCGCGACCTGGTGAGAAGCCGATACCTCCGCGTCATTTCACGGATCGGGAGCGACAGGAGGTGTGGCTCGAGGCTCGTGTTAAGTTCCCTAATCGTAGGTTTCCATTGTAGGACTTTCCAGTGTTTCGTTTTTATAATAATAATCTTTGGCTTTCAGTCAATCATCGGGATATTTGGTCCATGTTTAAGTTTGCCTTCCGCACGTACATGGAGGATCTGGAGCGTGGTATCGAAAATCCCTGGCCACAAAACTGGTGGCAAGCCCTAGAGCAGCTCAAATTTTTGGCAGACGTGCGTTACCATCCGCTTGAGCCCTACTATTATATCGTGCACAATAAGATCTATGAGGAGGTGAAGCGCTGTAGCATGTACGAGGCTCTGATGTCCGCGGATCCTTCTGATAAGAGCAAGCCTACGCCTACCAGCCTTTTAGCGCGTTTATCCAAGGAACCCAAGCCATGGGAGACGGAGGATGCCAAGCGCTTGCTTACCGGCAAGTTGACAAAGGAGGAATGCACCTTTACAATCACCCGCACCGTTCCGCCCACGTCAACTGCTTCCCCACCTACTCCCGTACCTGAAACAGTGCCCGTGACCCCCGCAAAGGTTCCAGCAGCCGAGTCAACCTCAGGCAAGAAAACGCGTTCCAAAAGACCCCAGGGACTTGAGGGCAGCAGCAAGCAGGTCACGAAAAAATCGGAACCTCCAAAGAATCAAAAATTCAACAAACTTCCCACTATCGAGGCTTTCGAGTTGACCCACGTCCTGCGCCGCCATCCGAACACCTTTGAGAAGTCAAGTACCATTGATAAGCGTACCGCCTGGGTTCGTGTCTCCAAAGAGCTGAATGCCACAGGTATGCCGAGATGGAATTTCTCAGTCAACTGAGAAATGGTTAACAGCCATATGGATGTCTTACTAATTGATTTTTCGATTTCTTCGCAGTGACCGAATGCCGCCTGGGCTTGCAATATGCCCTTCGCCAGATGCGTATCCTTAAGATCACGGATCCAACGAATCGTTGCACCATGGGTCACAAGTACTTTAGGCACATGACGGAGATCTATAAGCAGGTGAAGCCGAATGGGCAGATCACAGTGCGAACACCGCAACAGGTCAACCAATCGCTTGCCGAGCCAGCCGAAGAAGTTAAACCGAACAATTTTATACCCGAGATCAATGTGACAAAGTGCAGTCCGAATTTAGTGGTAAAGAACTGGGCCAGCGCTGTGGGTAGCTTTTCAAAGACCGGCCAGGATGATCTTTGCGAAAAGCTGAAGCAAGTTTTTGCCAAGTACGCTAAGGAGCCCAATGCCAATGTTACCGAGGATCCGGCACCGCCTTAGCGCCTCAAACTTTATTGAGAGCTTTCTCTACGAGTTTAGGAACTTGCATCGTTCCATTAGCATCATCAAATCCATTATAAATTTCCGAACATCGTATTTATTAGTATTTGTAATTAACAGCAATGATTTTATTCGTTTTTAAGAATAGCCGAAAAAACGCAATATTTTCAAAAACTTCAATGGGATTTTAAATTCTGTGATGTCCCTAAAAAAAAAAACAAAAAACTATACATATATTTTTTTATAATTCTGAAATAATTTGTTAAACAGAAAGAATAAAAGAGCGCATATTACAGTTTGACCCAGCAAAGCCTTAGTTCCTCTTGAATCCTTTATGAGGTCCAAGGCTCTTTGATTAGGTGAACATATTTGTCGGTCAACATGGCCCCGCCCACTTGTATGGCCTCCCAGAAGACATGAAAGTAAGCCCGAATAAATTGAGACGACCGGACAATTGCGAAACGATTTGATTGCTGTTCTTGATGGAGTAGGAGGAGGAGGAGGAAGATAATGGGGCACAAGCACGTAATGTCCAAGGGGATGATTGTCCAGGAGCCAAGGAAGGGGCAGGCCATTCGACTGGGAAAACTATTTTACGAGTTTTGAAAATATATATATGGTCAGCTTATGTTTAATAATGAGAAAGCAAGTTCAAGAAATAATGTGGATTTAAATAAGAAAGAATATTTAATATTTAAGTACATAAAAAAAAAGTGATAAATTTGGAAAAAAAAATCTGAAATGGTTTTTGTATAACAATATTTAATAATGAAATTTATGTAGTATTTAAGAATTTTTTTTCTTTGCTCAAAAGTAGTTAAGTTTTTGTTTTTTTTTCTCAGCGTATATTTAAGAAGGAAAAACATTTTCATGGAAAAAACTTAAATATAAGAAAAGTTTGGCAAAAAAAAACAAGCAGATTACCAAATCCAAAATGTTTTCTTAGCTTTTACAATATTTAAAAATAAAACTTGAAAATCTGTTTATTGCTCGAAATCTTATGGTGTCTTCTTAGTCGCCTGCCAAATACTTAAATACTTAAGATAAAATTTAACTTAAATATAAGAGAAAGTTTTAAATAAGATTTATATCAAAAGATTTGGGCATTTCGATGTGTTTATTGAGCTTGTTAAGTGTGAAATCCCTTCGTTTAAAGTTAATAAATGTATAATTATAAAAGAACACAACATTGTTAGCTTTGAAATGAAAAGAAAGTCAAAAAACGGCAAGAACTAGTAATTTTCCCCGGTGTAAGAATCAACAAAGTTTTTTGAGTTTCCTAACAGCAGTTATCAACGTTCTTGTTCCGAAAGCCCGTCCTGTCCGTTAGATGCACTGGGGCCATTGCTAGCGCCTCGATGTCCTCCGATTCATTGGCTAGCTCCTGTCCGCCCATCAAGCGATTACTTGATGAATGCATATCTACCCTACAAGGGCTTGTGGGAGGTATAGCCATTGACCGATCAGATGCAGAAGAAGAGCGATTCATGCGTATGGACGGTCTAGGTTTGGCCACCAGGCGATTATAGACGGCAACAGCCAGGGCGGCAAAGATGTGATTTACATTGGCACCACTCTTGGCCGAAGTCTCACGGAATGGCACTGCCCGTGATTCAGCGTAGTGGGCCGCCTGCTCTTGGCTCACCTGGCGGCTTTCAAGCTCATCGCATTTGTTACCCACTAGTAAGACGCTCACCATTTCCGGACAATATTGACGTATCTCTTCCAGCCAACTATCAATGTTCTGGAAACTGCTAAGCGATGTAGTGTCATAGACGAGTAGAACACCATGGGCCCCGCGATAATAGGTAGGCAACACCGACCTAAAACGCTCCTCGCCGGCTGTATCCCAGATTTGAAGCTTCACCACTTGTCCGGCCACCTCCACAGTGCGTACCTTGAAGTCCACGCCCACCGTGCACAGATACTGCCCAGTGAATCGTCCATCTGTGAAGCGCATCAGAAGACAAGACTTGCCCACGCCGCAGTCGCCCAGGACGAGAATCTTGAAAAGGTACTTGTAGTCACACATCATGAATGGGGAGTACCAGTTAGGTTGAAGGAATAGAATGGAGTGACTTTAGTAGTTTGGGTTGCTTGATGAATTTATTGGGGTTGGATTGGGGTAATTTATAGTTAAAACTTTCGAAATGTTGCTGTTAAAAGTATATTTTTTATGCTATTTCAAAGATAAACTAATTTTAAGTTATTAATTTGTTATTTTACATTTACTATATGAAAAATTCCATCAAAAATCATAAAATTATCTTTGTTTTTAGTTTTAAATGTTACTAATCTTGCAGATTTTAAGTTTAAGGTTGAAAATAACACAAGTTTCCTAACAAAAAAAGTAACTTTACTAAAAGACTTATATCATTGCCTTACATTTTGTTAATAATTATCATTAAAAATCATATAGAAAAACATAATATTTCCCATTTTTAAAACCAAAGTAAGTATTACCCAAAACCTAAACAAAGACACTTCCATCCAGCTGCGTCCAGAGGAGAAAGGAACATAAAAATTAGCATTACCCCGACTCTGGATGGGCTGCAAAGGTCGAAGTGCTGAAGGCGAAAAAGCGCGGTAATCGGGGTCACCGAGGAGCGACCGTCATAATCATTCTGGCATCATGATGGCGTTGGCAATAATGTTGGCTCCTTGGTGATTAACGCAATTAAACAGGTGCTCAAAATGATGTTTCCAGTGGATTAGCTGAGGACACAGGATGCAGGATATGGGGGAGGGAAGCTGAGAGCTGGGAACTGGCTACTGAGGGGGGTCTCAAGATGAGGGATGAGATAGATGCGTACGTCCGCTAATAGGAGATACATTAGCAACATGCGCCCCATGTTCGCATTAATTCTAGTCGTTGGTTTCGGTTTGGTGGGTGGGTGGTTGGTAGGTGAGTTTTTGTAACGTTAAAATTCCATTAGCCACCCATCCACTAGGTAGGGTGGCGTTTTTTCTATGTATATATATTTATAACAGGTGTTCGTCTACAACTTCTTAGTGTACTTTGGCCATTGTCCGTTGGCTGGGAGACGGCACTTGAGTGTATCGCTTATGCAATTTCCCTAAATGGTTCACATGACCTCCTCCGCGCCTAATGAGCCACTTAATCGGACGATTGTACGGCCATCCATTCTCCGTTGTGAGTGAATGCGAATATAAAGCTTACAATTTTCTAGCTATTGTAAAGCGGATTTAAAGGCTCTTGGTTGGAGGAGGTTTTATGAGACTTTTGTTACCCTGTAGTGGGTTGTTTTTGTTTATGAGACTTCTTTAGAGAGAATTTTATATATGAAATTCTTAATTTTAATCTTGGCCCACGGAAGATTTGCGTTTTAAAGTTGCTATAAAAATCTCAATATTTCCCAATTTTCTTCGAGCTAAATCATTTCGTAAACCGCAAACCTTATACTAGATAACTGACACATTGACAATGACATTCGAAATGTAAAATCGAAAATTATCGATAGTTCAAAAAGCAAAGGCTACATGGGCCATAGTTATCATTTTATATATCTTGTTTTTTGTTATCTTTCTATGAAAAAATTAAGAAAAAGTATAGAGAAAAATTCTTAAAAAATTCTATAAACTATCAAAAATATTATTTAATATCCTACGACTCTAAATAATGAAGATATTCCAGTTTAAATATTGTTGAAATATTATTAACATAACCCATCTGTACCCATTTCTTCTTTCCTACCCTAGAGATTATAGCTTAACGGCTCAAACTTTTTCAGTGACCACAAAAACTGTTAATTGTACCGTTTTTTTTTTTGTTGCTTTCTCTTTCATGTGTTTCATTTGTTTTCACCCATTTTTTATTGTTTAAAAGAAAAACAAATGCATAAAAGAAAACATAAAAAACAATGGCATAGTAGTAGTAATAATAAAAAGCGAAAAGTAAACTATTTAATGACAGTCGACAATCCACAATCCACAACCCACACAAAACCTAGAATAGAGGAATCGGAATCGGAATCGCCATCGGAATCAGACTCTCAGACTCAGCATAGTTCAATGTTTTGCCACTGGGACACAGTCCAGAAATGAGTACAAAGTTAGGGTAGAACTAAGGTACATGGGTTACTAAGGTCTATTTAGGTTAGATGGTAAAACTATTTTCTTGATATATTTGAAACATTTTCTATCATAATCTTCGCAAAGAGGGAGTTTTGAAATCACCAAAAAAGGTGTCAGAAGGTGAGCTTGTGAAAGCCTAAAAATATGTTAGGATAATTTTAAATAATTTTTAAAGTATTTTCAAATCAAACTTTTGTTTGAATGTATAAAAGTTTTAAGACTTTAAAGACTGTAAAATCATAAAAATATTTTTTATAATTTATATTACAACCAAATTCTCATAATTAAAGAAGAACCAACTTCAAAGCCTGACAGACCATGCGAATTTCTGTTCAAATTTTGAATACCCCTTGTCTAGGTATAATAAAAGTAATAAAAGAAAAAACAAAAACAAAAACAAAAAAAACCTAAGCAGCTCTGCAAAATATATAAAAAAAAAACTATCAACAAAACAAAAGTACAAAGCAGCGAACACGCCCGCTTTTGGGGACGAGCAAAAAGTAAACAGAAAAGCCATTATCGAGTACAACAATAGTAATGCTGCTGCCGTTGAGCAGTCTGGATGCACTGAGAAAAATGTACGACTAAATTGGGTTATTCTACTGCTAAGATTTGAACTATTAAGATTTAAGAATTTAAAAAAAACACCTTAAAAAGTAATTCCTTATATGGTAAAGCAAAACTCTATAACATCGAATTTTTCCCGATTTCTTTACCAGATAGTTTTATGACATTCAGAAAGTCTTTGAAACGCAAAGCTAATAAATCATATAAAAACTACGAACTTAATGATCTTTTACTCTAAAAAAAAACATAGTAATGATACTTGTATACTAAAAAATCCAGGTCAAAGAGTATTCCCACTTCGGTTCTTAAAAGCAAACCCATTTTCTTGGTTTTCCTTGGTGAACTGTGCATGGCAAAAACAATTACAATTTCGCAAACAAAGATAATTTGCGAATGAGATCGACGACACGATACAATGGCACTAACACTAACAGCAACACCAATACCAAAACCAACAACACACCACAAAATGGGGCGGGGATGGGGTGGCAAGAAAACTCAAAACTGGAAGTTGAAGGGCTAGGCAAGAGTAATAAAAACAGAAGCTTCTTTTATTTAAACGAGTGAATTAAAGTGTATGATCAGTAATCGATAATCGATATTTGTTAATCGGTTATCGGTTATCGGTTACCTTTAAGCTAAAGGTGGTTTAAAGGTAGTAGAAGGAAGATAATGTGGGAGGTGATAATAAGAGGTGAAAAATGGGTTAAAGATGGCAGAAATGGGGAACAGCTAGCAATGAGAAACTCCCCCTGAGCAAGATAAAATGAGTTATATTATTTTCCACCAAGGTAACATCTGGCTGTGACTTTGATTTCTCTTCAAAAATTATCTTTTAATATTAATATTTACCTAAGTCAAACTGATAAGCAAACTAAAGTGACAGTTGAGATGAAAAGTTTTTATATTTAAGAACTAAAATTGCAGAATATAAGAATAAGGAATAAGAATATTAAGAAACCCCAAAAAGAAAGAAACAAAAACTGAAAGAATGGAAATAATTCTGCAATAGCTAGAAAATTCAAATTCAAGCGAAAGAAAATTGCAAAAGAAAACGGAAAAACACAATTGTAGGTGTCATAATTTTCCAAAAATTTCAAATATCATTTTGCAACGAAAAAATATTGATTTGCTCAGCATTTCCATGGGAAAAAAAATATTATTTTTTATAACAAAATCATAAATGGCAATTTTCGTATGCTATAGTTTAAGATTTTCCCAACAAAAGTTTATAAAAATAAAAAGTTTTAAATTCATGTAACTAATGCATTTAGGGCAGCCTAGATTTTTGTTAATTACAAGCACTCTTTTTGATATGCAAAATATATATGTAAATCGGCACCTGTCGCCAAATATTCAACTTCAGTGAGCACTTTTCATTTTTCTGCCAGCTCTGCAGAATATTTCGCAACTCTTTAACTTTAACTTTGCGTTACGTTGAAAGAAGATTAACTTATGAAAGCATTTAAAAAATATGAAATTAAATCTACTCTGGAATATTACACCACAAAAGAAAATATAAAGAGAACTTAAAAAATATCATATATAATATATCATATCATGTATGTTTAAGCCCAGAATTTTGTATGGTCCTCAGTAAAATAAACCATCATAGAATTAAGCACATATATACTTTCTTAAATTTTTCACTAAATTTGTGTTTTTAAGCAAAATATTTTTGAATTTCAATCGAACTCTAAAATTTTCTAGCTTTATTTTTCATAAATCTTGGACCACAGTGTAGTGCAAATCAAAATTGTTTTTGGAAAAAGAACTTATAGAAATCCAATTAGTTGATTTTAGGTTTTTAGTTCTAGTTTCATTTTCATTACAGCTGAAAAAAACAACATAACTAAGGTTTTTATGAAAGTTTTTGATCTAAAAATCTTTTATAAAAGAATCAATAAGCCTGCTCTATCTGTATACCAGGTATACCATAAAAATTATCCTCACAGAATATTTAAATTTTGTTTTAAAATGATCAATAAAGTAAATATTGTGATCATGACTTCTTAGAAACCACATCACTGAGTTTCGATTTATTTTAAGTCTAATACTCAGACTTAGATTTAACTTCTGAAATTTAATTATAATATATTTCCTTTTAGCATTTTAAGGAAACTCTTAATCTTATGTTTAAATTGTAACAAAGACCTGTAAAGTGAAATGTTATGATCAGATGATCTTCTACAAAAATATTACATACGTTTGCCTCTGTTATTATTATTATTATTATAAGAGATAGAACTGCTTACTAAACTAAATTATATGATGATATGACATTAACTTTTGATATGAACTACAAAATATTACATACTTTTGCCTTAAGTATAATATTATTATGATTATTATTATAAGAATCAGCAAAGTTTATAAAACTAAAAAAATGTATACGATGATTTAACTAATGATAGAATCAAATGATCTTCTACAAGAAGATTACATACTTTTGCCTTTATTATTATTATTATTATTATTATCAGAATCAGAATCAGATATCCTTTACAAAACAAAACACGGATATAATGATTTAACTTTTGATATAGTCAGATGAACTACTAAATATTACATACTTTTGCCTTTAGTTATATTATGATTATTATTATAAGAATTAGAAAAGTTTATAAAACTATAAAATTTTATACGATGATTTAACTTATGATAGAAAGGAGATGATCTTCTACAAGCAGATTACATACTTTTGCCTTTACTATTTTTATTATCATTATTATCAGAATCAGAAATCTTTACAAAACTAAACACATATATAATGATTTAACTTTTGATATAGTCAGATCTTTTACAAAAATATTATATACTTTTGCCTTTTTTACTACTATTATTATTATTATTATTATAAGAATCACAAAAGTTTATAAAACACAAAAATAAACTAACTTATATGATGATATAACTTATGATATAAACAGATGATCTTCTACAAACAGATTACATACTTTTGCCTTTAGTATTATTATTATTATTAGGTATTATTATAAGAGACTTAAAAGTTTACAAAACTAAACTAACTTATATGACATAGCGTTGACTACAGGGGTCGACTATTTTGTCTTTATTGAAAAACCTTTTCTACTTTCTACCTTTTTTTACTTAGATTTTAAAAATAACATGTTAAGAAAGGGGCTTAAAAAGGGGCTTACCCTAAGAAGTAGGTTAAGGAATCGATCAATTCATTGAGTTTAACTGCGAATTAGACAACCCTAAAACTAGTGACTGTTAACTTTTGCATCGTCTGTAGAGCAACTACACAGTGCAGTGATACAAGTTTCTATTTATATATGTGAAATTATTTATTAAAATAAACCAAAAAATAATTAATCAAGATGTTGAAATTCTATGTTTTAGCTACGATTAACAAACCCCAAAACCAGTAACTAATATAAGTTTAGTATTAAGTTTAATCTGAAGCTCTTAAAACTTTTTGTAGAACACTTCCATAGATCTCAGACCACAGTGCTCAATCGTTTCGCATCTCGTAATGTTGCTGTTACTTTTGTTGTTGTTTCTCCTTTTGTTATTGCTGTTATTGTTGCCGCTGTTATTATCGCACAGAGTTGTAGCTGCGCCGCCGGCGTCGACGTTTGGCGGCGATCTTCGTTTTGGTCGGCGGCTTCAGTTCAGTTCGAGTTCGCACTCGGCCCCAGTCAGTCGGTTGAGCAGAGTTTCTGTTTCATACTATTTTTTTTTTCTTCCACCGCGATTCGTCGTGTTTTTCTGCCGCCAAAACGAAAAAAAAAAGCGAAAAAGAAAAAGAAAACGAAAAAACCGTAATAATACCGGGTCTCCAAATCCGTACAGCCGTAGTCGTAGTACATAGAGTCCATAAGGCGTTGCGGCGCTAGACGAACGCGAGAAGTGCTGCAAGTTGAATTAAATAATGTGTCGCACAAGATCGCTGCGTGTCGCGCTCAATTAAATACACATATTTTTTTTTTTATTCCCTCTTCCCTAGTCTTTACTTATATATTTTTTTTTGCCCGTATTTTGCACCACAACGTTGTTATTTTTATTTAATTGTTTAATAACAACAACAGCAAAGCTAAGTGCGAAAAGTGAAGTGGAGTTGGCCGACGGAATAAAGTGCCTCTGATCATCATCATCATCATCATCATCGTCGCGAGTGCGAGTGCGATTGCTCATAAAAGAAAAGAAGAAGAAATTAGAGCAGGTTCTATGAGATCGCTGATATCTTGAGTTCCTTAGTTCTAGAGTTATCCTTAGCCTAACCGACATTCGATTTGGGTGGCGTTTGGCGTTCCTCTTTGGTAATTTTATTGAGAGTTTAAGACTCATCATCATTGCCCATCCATATTGCACTTACCCGCTGATTTCCCCATCCTTTGGCAAGTTCAAGTTCACCGACCACGCGGACTCCTCTTTGCTCTCGCTTTCCTTCTCCTTGCCTTTCTCCTTGTCCTTTGTGCACTTGAAGAAAAATTAGTTAGTTTTTTGTATGAATAAATTGAGAAATTGATAAATATTAGTAAAAATATTATTTTTAATATGTTTTTACTTACAAAATTCTCTCTTAACTTGTTTATGATTTTGCAAATTACTTAAGACAGCATTGTTGTTTTTATATTTTATTTTACAGATTGGCATATATACTATAATTTGTTTACATATGTTGTTTTGATGGAGAGATAGGCCAGATATGGGTTAATTACATTTTGAAAAACATTTTAAAAGTGATTTTAAACTGATTTTTGCCAGGGGGGCAGTAAAGAAGATTTATTTTAGGCATTTATTATTAAAGGCTAACCTAGATTTTCAGTTAGTTTGTTTACGAATTTTGTTGATTTAAGTTAAAAACAAATTTTCTATATATTTTCAACTTTTTAGACAAACTTAAAGTGATCTTTAATATAAGAAGAAATGAAAAATCTTTTATAAATAAAACTTCTTTAAAGAACCAAATCTAACAACTCTATAACCTAAAGCTGAGCGAATCCCTTTTCACTTTACACTTTTCTCTCAGTGTAAAGTTCTCCTCTCTCGTTGAAAGTGCGTCTGCTCCTTGACTTCGTTCTCTGCATTTTGCCCACTCCTCGTACATTGCACCGTTTTGGGCCGCGTTTCCTTTGGTGTCGTCTTTCGTCTTTCAATGCATTTTGACAGCGTATTGCTAATCGGCCAGGTATTCGCAGTCCACCTTATAGCACCTTCTTTATATACTAATATACATATATATATATATATATATATATATATATATATATACCGATGCTGCCGTCGTCATTTCCTCACGCTAAGTCACCGCCCCTCTTTCACCCTCCTTCTCTCTTTCCCCCATCGTCATCACACTCACCTGATGATAAACAGCTGAAATTTTGATAATTTGTTGGGATTGCTGGGAATTGCTCAAATGGCTAATCAGCTGCTGTTAGCACTTCCACCTTTCCCTTTTCCCATTTCCCCTCTCTAAACTTAACCATAGAAATTTGCCTTATCGCATGCCAAAAAAAAAAAAAAAAAACGAAAAGGGCAACAAAAAAAAACCAAAAACCAAAAACCAAAAACCTAAATCCGAGCCCGAAACCAAAACCAAAACAAAAACCGCGGAATCGGGTCTACATTACCTCACTGCGGTTTTTACAAGTGCACTGAGAGATATTTTTGGGGATTTCTTTATGATTAAACAGAGAAATTAGAGCTACAAATTTGTTGTTTTTAGTGCAAAAAGCTGTTTGAATTATTGCAAAAAGAAAGAAAGAAAAAGTATTCCAAAATTAAAGTATATTTTTAATCTGTTTTCTTGACTAAAATTGCTAAAATTTCTGCCATTTTTCTCGGTGTTCTGTATAAAACGAGTTATTATATTTAAAATAAATCACCTGAGAAGTATGTCTGCTTTATTTTACTTTACTTAGCAATGTCTTTAAGCTATCTTTAAAGGTTATAAATCAGAGTAAGAAGAGGAGTTAATTAAAATTTTTATATATAAATTTAACCATTACCGCTTTATAATATTCATTTTTAAAGATTTAAATCAAAAATCAAACTACAGAAAAATAACATTTTCAAATTATTATATTTTATATGCCTGACTTAACATGAAAGTCTTATTTTAATTATTTTTAAATAATAATTTTTGAGTTATTATTTTTATATTTAACTATTTTTAGTGTTTTTTTTAAATATGAAATTGGCTAAACATTTTTACAAGTTGAAAGTTAAACCTCTGCGAATTATAAAAAAATGCAAAAACTTCAGAAAGAAAATAAAAATTGTTATTTTGTGTCATATTTAAAAAAAAAAATAAATAATAAAAATGAGAATAACTTAACAACAAAATGACTAATTAAATTTTTGCAGTTTCAACTAAAAAGCAACTAAAAAATATTTTAAAATAAATCATAAAATTGGAATTTCATTAAAAATATGATAAAAGTTATGAAAAAAAAACCAACAAAGTCAGTAAAATAGCAATTAAAAAACTCAAATTAAAATATAAAAAATGTAAATTCTTAAGCTAATATTAAATTTAATTTAATATACATTTTTATTATTTCTATTTATTATTATTTAACTTTTTTGATAATTACTTAATTGGTAAATTATTCTCTTTATTTTCTTGTTTTTTTCTCATTTAAAAATTGAAATAATTTCCTTTCTCTGTGCGTGCATCACTAGATTGCTGATAGCTGGGGAATGTTTACTGTCATTACCTGTGTCTCTCACTACCTGTCCCTTACCCCACAACGCACTTCCCCCCCTTTGGGTAACCACTGTACAGTAGATATCGGTATTTCTCATGCAATTTGCGGTTGTCACAGCTATTAGCTTTAGATAGTCCACTACGCGACGTTCTTATCAATGGGTTTGCTTTCTCTGGTCAGTTTTCAGGTCTTCAGTTTGTCAGTTCTTTAATTTCTTCAGTTTGTCAGTTTGTCTTTTTATCAGTTCTTTAGTTTGTCAGTTTGTCAGTTTTTCATTTCTTTAGTTTGTCATGTCTTCAGTTTCTCAGTTTCTTTGGGTAATCTTCAGGTAGAGTTTGCCCGACTTCTTTCTGTTTGCCGTCGCAGTCTGTTGATAGCAATCGCCGGTGGTTTACTTTGCTAATGATATTCGGTTTAGCATGGGAACATCATATATATATATATATATGGACATATATACAGATAGATATACCCACTAAGACAGTCATATATTTTAGCATTTTCACTTATCTCGATGGTGGTTTAAATGTTGGTTGGATTGCCATCATATAAGACCCACATATTCTTGACTTCCTTCGGGCATTTTGCAATAAATATGTTTATGTTAAGTTTGATAAGTTATTTTTGGCTTGTAGTTATTAAGGTTTATAGAGATTTGAGTATTTTTTTTAATGATTTTACAGTCTTAAGTTTATTGTTAATAACTTAGTTACAGTCTTAATAAGGTCAAAGTAAATTAAGAAAAATTTTTTAACATCTTTCCATGAAGGTAACCTAGCTACTTTGTGGATAATCTTAAATATTACTTAAAAAATCTTTTAAAATTATCAAAGAGGCATTATCTTTTGTTAGTATTAAACAGATATTCCTTAAATTTCACATTCTTTTGTTAACAAATCTTAATCCCATACAATCCATAACATTTTTGTTGCCATAAAGTCCAAGCCAAAATAAACATAACGAAATGACCTCACTGGAATCCCAGCAAATTTGATCACTTGTTTACCGTTAACTGATCACAGTGTAATAAAAACCATAACATAAATCCCCATAAAAGAGTTTCCAATGATTATTATTGCCTCATTCAGAAGCCCTTAGCTGCCTTTTTGTCGTGCATGATCTCAGCCGAATTCCCCACTAATCTTTGACACCCACACAAGCAGCAATTTGCTGGTTTAAAAAAAAAAACAAAAATATTGCCAAAAACAAGGAAAAAAGTAAGCTTTAACTAAGGCGCTGCATTGGCGGCGGCTGTGGGGCGATCAGTTTTTGGCGATCAGTTTTTAGCACCAGTTGAGTTCCATGTGGGCGCAGCAGCCCAAATAGTTTGGCCCAAGTCTCTCGAAAGTCTCTCAGAGTTTTAGGAGTCACTCTTGTTTTTGTTTCAGCTTTGTTTTGCTTTCGGCTATTTACGCTAACCGCTGCTGTGCCCAACTGTTCCAATAGAAAGCCAGTTAACAGCGATCCCCCGCGCTCTGTTTTTTTTTGGGTTTACAATTTTCGGGTTGGCTGGCAGAAGACGTTCGATGGATCTTTCGTTTCAGTGTCTTGTCGATCAGTCAGTCGATCGATCGATGGATCGTCACCGTCTAAATATAGATTTCGACCATATTTGCTGGCAAAATATTGGCCATGAGTAAGGCGACGGAGCCGAACCTGCCTCAATTCCAACTGCTATATGGTGTCTGTATCTGGGCCTCTTTCTATATATCTCTCATATAGTATATATATATATATATAAGTATCTGCACGTGTTTTTGTGTGGCAGACAGCAGACGGCAGACTTGCAGATCGGGCAACATGTCACCCCACGCGACATGCCACATACTACATATACTGCACATACTATACATGCAACATGCCACATTTCTCCATCACAGTTTCGCGTCAGCATTCCCAGCGATCTGATGTGTCCGACTACCGAGCTCCCTCGAGCTCCCCTTAATAAGTCTTAATCTATATGTCAATATTTTCTTGTTTAGTTTCCAAACACACATCTCTGTGGCTGTATTGCTGGGTATACCAGGCCTGGTATATGTTTTGTATCTGTGTGGCAAAGAAGAAGTATCTATATTTGCTGTGTATCTTTTTTTTTTGGCCAGGCAATTCTCCTTTGGCATCCACATCCACATCCACATCCATATCCCAATCCACCTCTTCCTGGTTGTGCCATGTCGGTCGGCATCTCGCATTCAGACAATGCCCGCGTATTCATAAACAAGGCCTTCGCATTCGGATTCGGATTCGGATTCGGGTTCGTCCGCCTACTGTCCCTCATCTAGTTTGCCTCCTTCTTCTCTTGTTGGTACTCCTCCTTCTTCTACTCCTCCTTCTCCTCCTCCTTCTTCTTCTCCTCCTCCTCTTCCTCCTCCTCTTCCTCCTCCTCCTTCTTCTTCTTCTCCTTCCACATCTTCTTTGGACGCCTCTAGATTTCAGCAAGTTGGTGCCACTTCTCGGTTGCCATGCGCTGCAAACAAAATGTTTCCTCGATACCCTGTGATTAGGGAGTTAAAGATTGTTTGGGTTTTATAGTCGTTATGATATGAAATGAAGATCAAAGAAAACTTCATATACGATCTTTTTCCAAACAAGTTTTGAACTTAAAA